TGCGCACCCACAGCGGCGAGCAAGCATGTTTTACTGTTGTTAAGGGTCAGCGTCCCACCGATGAGCTTCCATGAGACCGAGATTCCCGAGAGATTCCCGAAGAACCTGGCCAGAAGCAAGCCCTACCCCCTTATAGCCTTGCCATGGCTGACCTTAGCTTCCAAGTTAAGCGCTTGCAGCGGGCTCACGCGCATTTGCTCCAGTTGCACCTGCGGCTTATGGTTGGAACCGAAAGCACCATAAATGTCAGTGAAAACGCTTAAGTTCGACACAGTGTGTTGGGAGTATTGTCGCTAATTTTGCAGGGCCGTTTTTCTACGAACTTTTCGGGCGGCCACCACCATGCGAAATGCATTATTTGTCATTTCTTTCTGGTTGGCGTTGGTTCGAGGCGAAGAAAAGCTAAGGTCAGTGAAAACTTTAAGTTCAACATGGGGTGTTGGAACTATTGTAGCTGATTTTGCCAGACAGTTTTTTGCGACTAACTTTTCGGGTGCCACACCCATGCGAAATTCACCGTCTGTCCTTTTTTCTGGTATGTGATGGCTCGAGCCGAACAAAAGTCAAGGCCGGTGAAAGCCTTTAAGATCAACACCGGGCGTTGAATTTCTTGTTGCTAACTTTCCGGGGTGGTTTCTCTACTGGTTTGTTCGGCTGTCGGGTGACCGTTTTTGGCGCTGAAAATGGGCAATAACTGTTTGCACGGAGCAACAATTTAGAAACTGTCTTTGCTTCGTTTTTGGATGTTTTATTTGATTTTTTGGGTTTAGGGTCTAGGGTTTAGGGCTTTGAGTTTAGGGTTTAGAAGCCCAACAAAAGCAAAACGGAAAAAGCCTTTTAAAAAATAGACCTCCCCATTGAAATCCAAATGTCAGCTGTGTTTGGCGGTTTGCAGCTGAAAGGGTTGGGACGGTTGGCTGTTCGGGCTTAATCTGGGAGTTAAAGGTGGCTCATTAGTAATGATGGCCATGGCAGTGCGGTGTGGATGGCTTAGATCCCGAAATCGAGCGACTCTGACCCCCAAAAAAAGTTAGAGACCAAAAAAGACCCCAAAAAAAGTTAGAGACCAAAAAAAAAGTTAAGTTCAACACCGTGTTGAACCTAACTTTTCGCGTTGGAAATCCTACGTGTTTTTGCTGAATCCTACGTGTTTTTTGGGCTGTCGTGTGACGTGTTTCAAGGAAAAATGTGGGAAATAAGGGTAAAAAAGGTCGAACGGCGTCGGTTTGTAGCCTTGCCGCCTGAAAAAACACGTAGGAAAACAGCAAAAACACGTAGGATTTCCAACGCGAAAAGTCAGGTTCAACACGGTGTTGAACTTAACTTTTTTTTTGGTCTCTAATTTTTTTGGGGTCTTTTTTGGTCTCTAACTTTTTTGGGGTCAGAGTCGCTCGATTTCGGGATCTAAGCCACCCACACCGCACTGCCATGGCCATCATTACTAAAGCCACCTTTAACTCCCAGATTAAGCCCGAGCAGCCAACCGTCCCAACCCTTTCAGCTGCAAACCGCCAAACACAGCTGACATTTGGATTTCAATGGGGAGGTCTATTTTTTAAAAGGCTTTTTCCGTTTTGCTTTTGTTGGGCTTCTAAACCCTAAACTCAAAGCCCTAAACCCTAGACCCTAAACCCAAAAAATCAAGTAAAACATCCAAAATCGAAGCAAAGACAGTTTCTAAATTGTTGCTCCGTGCAAACAGTTATTGCCCATTTTCAGCGCCGAAAACGGTCACCCGACAGCCGAACAAACCAGTAGAGAAACCACCCCGGAAAGTTAGCAACAAGAAATTCAACGCCCGGTGTTGATCTTAAAGGCTTTCACCGGCCTTGACTTTTGTTCGGCTCGAGCCATCACATACCAGAAAAAAGGACAGACGGTGAATTTCGCATGGGTGTGGCACCCGAAACGTTAGTCGCAAAAAACTGTCTGGCAAAATCAGCTACAATAGTTCCAACACCCCATGTTGAACTTAAAGTTTTCACTGACCTTAGCTTTTCTTCGCCTCGAACCAACGCCAACCAGAAAGAAATGACAAATAATGCATTTCGCATGGTGGTGGCCGCCCGAAAAGTTCGTAGAAAAACGGCCCTGCAAAATTAGCGACAATACTCCCAACACACTGTGTCGAACTTAAGCGTTTTCACTGACATTTATGGTGCTTTCGGTTCCAACCATAAGCCGCAGGTGCAACTGGAGCAAATGCGCGTGAGCCCGCTGCAAGCGCTTAACTTGGAAGCTAAGGTCAGCCATGGCAAGGCTATAGGGGGGTAGGGCTTGCTTCTGGCCAGGTTCTTCGGGAATCTGAGGCTCATGGAGGTTCGCGGGCGGGACGCCGGCCCTTAGCAAACAGTAAAACATGTTGGTTCGCTGCTGTGGGTGTGCAGAGCCTTCAAATGGTTGTTCAGTCCAAAAAAAAGCAAGCATGCACTCCCAACCCCTATATGAGGAGTTAGCGCCGATTGGTGTCGAACTCACCTTCCCGAAACCTGGTTCGCGAAATTTACCAGTTCAGGGCCTGGAAGGCAGAGGGATCCCAGCTAGGGTTTGACCTTTACTAGGATTCATGGTAGGCCCTTCTTTGCTTTTTGCAGGGTTTAGGTTCCCTTAGAAGCCAAGAAGGGCGCCCTTGATATTCCTAGGTTACTCTTGGGTGTAGTTTAGGTTTGGGTACTCCCCACACGCGGCAACGGTCTTGCAGCCATGTGGCCCCGGGCCCTCTGTCTATAGTGTCCTGTAGAGAATCCACAAAGCACCCGAAATTCGGGACAACCCATCCCACCCCCCCCCCCACACCCCCCCCCCAAAGCTTTCTCCCCCCCCGCCAATTCTTGTTCTTGTTGCTAAAATTTTGTTGCTGGGAAAACCTTGTATATAGGGATTTCCCAAGAGTTCTAAAAGCCACAAGCCACAACTCAACCCTCGACCCTAAACCCTATAAAACCCTAGAAGCCCATAAACCCTACAAGCTCTCTAAACCCTCTCTAAACCCTACAAACCCCATAAACCCCTATAAACCCTAAGCCATTGACCCTAAACCCTAAACCCTGTAAACCCCTGAAAAGAGCGATTCCGGTACATTAAAAAAACCTAAAAACCTTAAACCCTAAACAAACCTTAAACCCTAAAAGCCTAAAAACCTTAAACCCTAAAAAGCTTAAACCCTATAATAAACCCTAAACCTTAAACCCTAAAAACCTTAAACCTATAAAACCCTAAAAACCCTCAGCCGCTCTAGCCGAGGCCGGGATTAAAGCCAAGGCTGGCATCGCGGCTCCTGCTTTGACGGCATGGGCTGGCACTGGCTGCTGGGTTCGCGCGTGTGCAGGGCGGGGGAACCTTAACCCTTAACCCTAAACCCTAAACCCTAAACCCTACACCCTAAACCCTAGGGTTTCTAGGGTTGATAGAAGGGAAATTTGGGACTTTTCATCTTGGAAGGCTTGGCTTGAGATTCTGGGCAGTGGGGGTATGGGTTGGCCTAAAGCCTGGACGGCCAAGCACTTGGGCTGCTACACGTTTGCGGGTTTAGGGTTTAGGGTTTAGGGTTTAGGGCTTCGGGTTTAGGGGTATTTAGGGTTTAGGGACAGAAGTCTCCAGCACTGCGGAGACCCACAGTCCTCCATGCTGCATCAAGGGCTAGGCGCGAAGAATCCCTAAACCCTAAACCCTAAACCCTAAACCCCAAACCCTAAACCCTAAACCCTAAACCGGCTCGGAGACCTGTCGCCTAAAAGGATAGCCGACCCTAAACTGGCCCTAAACGCTCTAGAATCCTAGCGCCCCCCATAATCCAACTCTACCCCCTACACCCTCTAGATCCTATAACGACCTTATACCCTACCCCCCCCCCCCCCCGTCCCCGATTAGTGTCAACCGAGCCATGGCTTTTCTACGCCCTACACCCTAAACACCAAACCCTAAACCCCAAACCCTAAACCCTAAACCCTAAACCCTACACCCTAAACCCAGCCGTGGCTTTTCAAAGTCGAGGTTCCTTGACACCAGCCGCAGTGACGGAACCATGTCCTGGACCGCCAAGCACTTGGGCTGCTACACGTTTGGTTTTAGGGTTTAGGGTTTCGGGTTTAGGGTTTAGGGTTTCGGGTTTAGGGTTTGGCGTTTACGGTTTAGGTTTTCGGGTTTAGGGTTGAGGGTTTAGGGTTCGCAGACCCCTGGGAAAATCCAAAAAGAAGATCACCTGAAGAGTTCCAAAAATTGACCCGATAGTAGTAAAGGGCATTATTTGGGGTTCTATTTTTTGGATCATGCCAGGGGTCTCTGGGTTTGTGGGGTTAGGGTTTGGGGTTCTGGACTCTAGTTCTTGAGGTGTGGGGTTTAGGATTCAGGGTTCAGTCGGGGTTCTAAGGCTCTAATTCGGACTCTCTGACTGTGGATTTCGGCTTTGCAAATGTTTATACCCATCACAAAGAAGCTCCGAAGACACTAAACCTAAACCAAAATATCCTGAACCTTAGCCTAAACCCTAGACCCCAGACCCTAAACCCTAAGCCCTAGAGTCCCCGAAACAAACCGAAACCCTATCAGCCCAACACACTTCAACATGGTCTGGGCCTGGCGGTGAGAACTTTGTCGTCCGAACGGTCCGGGCTTAGGCCCTGATCCCGAACTCCCAAACCCCAATAGACCTTAAGCCCAAACCCCAAACCTAGACCCTAAACCCTACCCGCTAAACACCTAAACCCTAAACCCGAACCCTAAGCCCTGAACCCCTAAGCTCCTAAACCTTAAACCCTAAATCCCGAGACCCTGAACCCCAAACCCTATCAGAGCTGGGCTTTGGGGTTTTTTAAGGCTTCTGTAGGACTTGAGGGTTTAGGGTTTAGGGTTTAGGGTTTAGGGTTTAGGGTGTAGGGTGTAGGATGTAGGTCCTTTTTACTGGTGAGTATCTTAGCCCTTGTTCATGGGTATAGGTTGCTTCATGGTTGCTCTTGGTAGGCGTTTAGGGCGTCAGTAGTACTCAACGTAGATCCGCGTACATGGTTCTGGAGCGACGCAGTTCGTGTCGGCGAATCGCAAGGTGTTTCACGTCAAAGTGTACCTGTTGCAGACCCTCAACCCTGAACCCCAAACCCTGAACCCTGAACCCTAAACCCTAAACCCTAAACCCTAGACCCTAACCCTACATTTGCCTCTTTATCTTCCTATTTCCCATGAGTTGGCCAAGGAACCTGTTCCCGGTCGTCACCATGTATCATGAAGGCTCGGGACACCATGTAGGCCTACTTGGAGGTCATGGAATGGTGTAGGGTTTAGGGGTTTAGGTTTGGGGTTTAGGGGTTTAGGGGTTTAGGGGTTTAGGGGTTTAGGGGTTTAGGGGGTTAGGGGTTTAGGGGTTTAGGGGTTTAGGGGTTTAGGGGTTTAGGGGTTTAGGGGTTTAGGGGTTTAGGGGTTTAGGGGTGCTTATTCACCAATTATAACTTAATGTACTTATAACCCACTTATAAGCCCCTGATTAAGTGCCCTAATATGGTTATAAATAAGTACATTTGTAAGTACAGCGATAATTGGTCAACAATTAAGCCCTGATTCCGGTTAAGGTCTAGGTTCCCGTGTAAGCCCCAGAAGCCAAAAAGGGCACCCTCGTTAGAGACCCCTTTCTTGGGTTTCAAGTAGTGGCTTAGGGTTTAGGGGTATGTAGGTTTTGGGGGTTAGGGTTGGAGAACCCTAAACCCTAAACCCTAAACCCTAAACCCTGGGTTCAGGGCTTAGGGTTTAGGGCATGTATGTTTGGGGTCAAAAAGGCCCAGGATCCCTCAGAACGCCCATTAAATGAATTCACCCCAAAACCCGAAATACTGAATGCTAGACCCTACCCAGACCCCTGGGAGGATCCAAAAAAGTAGACCCCCCCAAATAGTATCCTATAGTACTTTTGGGTCATGTTTTTTGAGCCCTTAAGGGAATCTACTTTTTGGATCAGACCCCAAGACCTCAGCCTAAGCCCCAAAACGCAAATCCCCAAGCACCTAAAACCCTAAACCTCAAACCCCAAACCCTAAACCCTAAACCCCAAACCCCAAACCCCTCACCCTAAGACTCCGGTTGTTGGGGGTCAGAGTCGGTTCTCGCGCCTTGGGGGGCCTTGCTTCGAGGAGGGCGAGACTCCACCGAAACCTTTCAGGTTTAGGGCTTAGGGTTTAAGGCCCTTCGGGTTTAGGGTTTGGGGTTCAGGGGTTTAGGGTTTCGGGTTTAGGGTTTCGGGTTTAGGGTTTAGGGGTTAGGGGTAGGATGTAGGGTTCAGGGTGCACCCATGGCTCGCGACTTTTGGGGCCGTTTCCGTGTTTACATAGACCTCGGGGCACAGTCTACACCCCGAAGGGTGCGCCTACTTACCAAGTGGGGCCTAGGTGCCCCAAATGTGTGGGTACGGTTTAGGGTTCAGGGTTTAGGGTTTAGGGTTTAGTTTAGGGTTTAGGGTTTAAGGGTTAAGGGTTTAGGGTTTAGGGTTTAGGGCTTGGATAGGGTTGATCAAGCTGGCTTGGTTTAAGGGGCTAGGGTCCCACACGCGAGCTTGAAGAGGAGAGATCAACGCCATCTTCTTTGCGGCCCACCTGAACCAGGCTGGGTTTGGAGTAGTACCATACTTTAATACTCTTGTTTTTGGTGACGGCGCCTGTACGCGCCTATGCGTTATTGCAGGTTTCAGGGTATTGGGGCGGGGGGTGGGGGGGGTGGGACGGGGGGGGGGGGGGGTAAGAACATCATTCATATTGCGCAAAACACTGGTATTTACAGCCTTTTCGCCTCTTTGTACAACATACTGCACAAGCATAAACCCAATCCTTAAGCCCAAGTGTAACCTAAGGCAAGTCAATACTTTAAACAAACTCTCTCTAAAATAAAACTTTCTTCTGTAGCCTCTTCAAACATGAGCTTACAACTCGAGCGAAAACGCAGCTAGGCCCAAAGTTTACTTCAGCCTCTAGTGTTTCGCGCACCTGCCTGAACAACAATTTTAGTTGAGATTGCGCTCTCGCTGTGGTTTCGCGCGTATCCACACCCTAAACCCTAAACCCTAAACCCTAAATCCTCATTCTGAAATCTCTAAAAACGCCTAGGCGCGTACAGGCGCCGTTACCTTTTTTTGACCTGTGCCTTGAAGGAACCAATATGAAATACAAGCTTATCCCTAAACCCTAAACCCTAAACCCTAATTAAACCCCAATCCCCATACCCCAAACCCTAAACCTTAAACCCTAAACCCTACACCCTAACCCTAAACCTTTTCTTCTCCCTGGTTACTTCAAAGTCCAGCCCAGCAGGTCTCCATCCCCTTCCTGGCCGCCAACGAGTGGGAGCCCGTGAGCCTGAGCAACGAAGCTGGGCGGATGTTAGGAGCACAAAGCTCCTAAACCCTACACCCTACACCCTAAACCCTAGACCTCGAACCCTAAACCCTACACCCTACACCCTGAACCCTAAACCCTAAGCCCTAAGCCCTATGCCCTAAACCCAGAAAAACCCTATAAACCCTAAGCCCAGCCCACGAACCGCCCCACCAATAAAAGCTCAGCATCTCAATCGCTCAACATACTGGTAAGTGTCAAGGCGCCTTTTAGGGTTCAGGGTTCAGGGTTCAGGGTTTAGGGTGTAGGGTTTACGGTTTACGGTTTAGGGTTTATACCAGAGCCTCGCCTGAAGAACTCCAAGACATTGGCATCGTTTTCTAGGGTACCTGTGAGTCCTGTTACAAAGGGTTTGAGAACAGTACGCTCCCACCTCCTCCAGCCCGAAACCCTGAACCATAACCCCTAAACCCGAAACCCTTTACCCTAACGCCCTAAACCCTAAACCCCAAACCCTAAACCTTAAACCCTAAACCCTAAACCCTAAACCCCCGGAGCCGAAAGCCCTAAATGCCCACGAAGATTGAGATTCCGATCCTGACTCACAAACCTTTGGAGCCTAACCTCTAGAAGCCCTTCTGAAGCAGGGTTTAGGGTTTAGGGTTTAGGGTTTAGGGTTTAGGGTTTCGGGCTTGGGATTTAGGGTTTGGCATTTTTAGATTTAAGAGTTTTTGGGCTTCAGGTTTCTTGGTTTTGAAAGGCTAAGGTTTTTAGGGTTGTTTATAAAATTTATAGGGCTTGCAAGGCGTAGTCTTTTGAGTTTAGAGTTATTTTGGGTTTAGGGTACAGTGCCTAGTACAGGGACATGTCATGGTTCTGAGCCCTTATCGAAGGCTCTCCTTTCGCTCGGACCTCCTGCAAAGCCTTTCTGCCATCTTCCCCAACCCTAAGCCCTACACCCCAATTCCCAAACGCTAACCCTAAACCCTAAACCCTAAACCCTAAACCCTACACCCCTCAGGACAAGATGTGCAAGAACACCTGCGACACGGACTGCGACTTCCCTGGCGTTGTGGACTCATGGTCGACGGCTCACATCTACTTCCGTGACCACACGGACTGGGCTTAGGGTTTAGGGTTTAGGCTTTAGGGTTTTAGGGTTTAGGGTTTAGGGTTTCGGGTTTAGAGTGTACGTTTCAGGGTTTAGGGTTTTGTTTGGGGTTGGAGGCTTGTGGCTTAGACAAGCTAGGGTTTAGGGTTTAGGCACATCCGACTCGAAGTTGCACCTGGGGGTCCTCGAAAGCCCTCAATTCCTAGACCCTTGCCCCGCCTGCAGGAGGTGACGTGCCCCTCCGAGCTTCATTGCAGCATCAAGTTCCCTCTAAGGGCAAGCTGCTGCGAAGCTAGCCGTACCGAGGTGGTTGTGTAGAAGCTTGCCACCAGTTCCGGGCTTCGGGTTTAGGGTATCAGCATAGGGAGGCCCTGTGTATAGGTGCAGTTTGCTGTTTATTGGGTTTAGGAGGATCGTGTTCTAGGAACATCTAAAACGCCATGCTCTAGGACGCTTATATTTGGTTTAAGAGGAGCATACGCGAGCGTCATCTCGGGGGAGAAAGGGCCTACCTAGCTGACCCTTCTCAGGGCAAGTCAGGTGAGGACCTGCACGCTGCCCAGAACCCGCCCGACAGCCCCAACGGCCGTTTTAACGGCGCGCAAGTGTTGTCTAGGTCGGCCCGTCTTATTGGGTTTTGCCGGAACTTCTACCAGGAAGAGTTTCCCTAATTGCTGAGACATAATACACTTTACCTTACACCCGAACGGGCCAACCTAGTAATGCTGTGAAGTTGATCTGATTGATTGCGATGCCTGCGCTCAAAGAGATTCGTGCGTGGTATGGGTTTAGGGTTTAGGGTTTAGGGCTTAGGGCTTAGGGCTTAGGGCTTAGGGTTTAGGGTTTAGGGTTTAGGGTATTGGGGTCGTCAAGAAAAAGCAGAGGGCTTCTGGGCCCAAGGGTTAAGCTTGATGGGTAGGGGAGTTTGGGTATCCATATTGCTTGCCTCAAAGCTCTGCTTGACTACCACAGGGTTTAGGGTTTAGGGTTTAGGGTTTTAGGGTTTAGGGTTTAGGGTTTAGGGTTTAGGGTTTAGGGTTTAGGGTTTTAGGGTTTAGGGTTTAGGGTTTAGGGTTTAGGGTTTAGGGTTTAGGGTTTAGGGTTTAGGGTTCAGGTTTTGGGAGACCGGAAGATTTGGGAAAGTCCTCCAGCTACGCAGAGGCAATGGCAGATCGTGGCCGCTGGCCGGTCGGTGGAGGTGCGGGTAGCCCTAAACCCTAAACACTAAACCCTAAACCCTAAACCCTAAACCCTAAACCCTAAACCCTAAACCCTAAACTCATCCTGCTGCTCAAGTCCCGGAATTCGGGTGTAGGGCCCATAGTTTAAGCAGAGTTCGAACTCTCTTAGGGTAGCTACATGGTCCCTCAGAATGGGCCCTTCAAAGGGTACCCCTTAACACCCCTTATATGAAGCAGGGTTTATATTACTGTTCTTGGTGAACGTATATAAGGTTCCTCTTTAAGATAGGTGAGTGTATATACCTGGTGCCCTTTTGGGGGGTACAAGAAATATGTACCCTACTTCATATAAGACCCTAAACCCTAAATTTAAGAGCCTCCGGCTCAAGCCGCCGACCCCGCCGGAGCATTGTTCAGGGCTCAAGCGGCGCAGCGTGCCCCGGCGCCAAACCCTAAACCCAAACCCGACCCTAAACCCTACAGCCGAAACCCTAAACCCTACAGCCTAAACCCTAAAGCCTCAGCCCTAAAGCCGAACCCTAAACCCCAAAGTAAAGCCTAAACCGAAACCGGAACCCTAAACCCCGAAAGCCTAAACCGAGGACAGCCCAACGACCACAGGCTGAGGGTTAAGGGTGGGAGGGCTTAGGGTTTAGGGTTTTTACTGAAGGAGGAAGGGGGGAAGGGAGGAGGGGGGGGGGAGGGGGGATGGGCGGGGGGGGAGGGGCGAGGGGGAGGGTTTATTGGGGGTGGGAAAAAGTGGGTTTTTTTTCCCAAAAAACCCCTATGCCCTGTGCGAAACCGCCTATGGTCCATGAGTACACGCGGTGTGGGTGGTCTGGCCCTCCACGGAAAAGCTGCCGGGGTACCCCCCCTACCCCCCCCCCCCCCCCCCCGTAAGGAGGGCAAAAGGGAGGTTTCACATCCAGAAACCTATCCAACACGCCGCCAGGGTCGGCGGACCCTAAACCCTAAACCCCAAACCCCAAACCCTAAACCCTAAACCCTAAACCCCTTGTCTAGCCCTTACATACCCAGGACACGGCGGGGGAGGGCAGCCGCGGGACAAAGGCGGAAGAGGAAGAGTCCCGGGCTCCGAAGCGCGAAGGTCACATGGAGGAGAACTCGGCGGTGGATGGGTTTAGGGTTTAGGGTTTGGGGTTTGGGGTTTAGGGTTTAGGGTTTCGGGTTTAGGGTTTAGGGTTTAGGGTTTAGGGTTTAGGCTCCCGACCCTGGTGCCATCACAGGGCGAGGGGGAGGAGGAACCCACCTGGGTGCCAACAGAGGTGGCATCGAGCTCCTCAAGCTCGGAGGAGGGCGAGCTGACCAAAACCCTAAACCCTAAACCCTAACCCCTAACCCCTAAACCCTAAACCCTAAACCCTAAACCCTAAACCCTAAACCCTAAACCCTAAACCCTAAACCCTAAACCCTAAACCCTAAACCCTAAACAAAACCCTAAACCCTAAACCCTAAACCCTAAACCCTAAACCCTAAACCCTAAACCCTAAACCCTAAACCCTAAACCCTAAACCCTAAACCCTAAACCCAAACCCTAAACCGTGTGCAGTACCTGCGTGTGCTCAAGACAAGTTAGGGGTCCATACACCAGAACCCTTTAACGGAGGTTCGGGACCATATTATTCAGTGCCCATGAAACTACCCTCAGAATCTCCTAACCGCCGAACCTAATGGCAACTGCAGCCCCCATCAGTATTGAGGGCTTAGGGTTTACAAGGTTTAGGGTTTAGGGTCTACAGGGTCTAGGGTCCAGGTTTAGGGTTTAGGGTTTAGGGCTTGGGGTTTGGGGGTTTAGGGTTTAGGGTTTAGGGTTGAGGAGTACGCACCTGCACTTCATACATCTCTGCATCCGCGAACCCGGGTTTAGGGTGTAGGGTTTGAGTTTTAGGGTGTAGAGCTCAGGGTTTAGGGTTTTGGGAATCTCTCAAGGAAATGGGTCTAGTTCTGAGCCTAGGGTTCCGGATGTTGGACTCGCGCCACCTAGCGCGCTGCTGCGTTTTCGCAACAGCCTGCAATAATGTGTATGACGGAGGAAGGGGGGTAGTAGAATTTTTAATTTCAATGGCCTTGTCATTGTGGCGTCTGTCGCTGAGTAGGGGGCGAGAACCTACACCCTAAATCCTACACCTTGCACAAGCACCAGGCTGCCCCTACTACGGCAGCCGTAGGGCAGTTGCTGAGGCACGAGGGGTGGGTTAAGGGCTTAGGACCCCAAACCCTAAACCCAAATCCTCAACCCTAAATCCTAAATCCTAAACCCTAAACCCTAAACCCGAAATTTCGGGTTTTGTAGGGTTTCGGGTTCAGGGTTCAGGCTTCAGGGCTTAGGGTTTATAGGGTTTAGGTTTAGTTCCGAAGTGTGGCCCTTGGTATATAAGGGGTATATAAGGAGTAGATAAGGGGTACCCTTTTCAGGGCCCATACTAAGGGGGGGGTTTAGGGGGGTTTAGGGGGTTTAGGGGGGTTTAGGGGGGTTTAGGGGGTTAAGGGGGTTTAGGGGGTTTAGGGGGGTTTAGGGGGTTAAGTACCCTTAAGAGTTTAGAAGTGTGTAGGGTGTGGTGTAGTGCTGGCGCTTGCGTTGTGCTTTTGGCTTGGGCCTGCGGGCGTGTTGTCAAGATTGGCCCTTCTAAACCTAAGGGTCCATGTACCTAGATGTGTATACCTAGGTTTGAAAGCTACTATATGGGAACCCTCAAGGCCCGAGTATAGACTATATATGGGCCCTTAGGGTGAACAGGCAGGAGACACTGTGTAAACGACGGTTCAACTTGGTTTAGGGTTGAGGATTTAGGGTTTAGGCTCTTGGTAGCCAGTGGTACCCTTTTCCCTTCTTGTTCGGTTCAAGCTTCCCTTATACATTAACAAACCCCAAAAAGGGTGCCCTCATCTTGATATGGTTTCTGGGCTACCAAGCCATGGCGGATGTACGAACCCGCAGCCAAGCACGCCCTACACCCCAAAGCCCTAAATCCTAAACCCTCAACCCGGCACTCTACAGCCCAAGAGCTGAAAAATCAAGCCCGAAACACCAAGCTTCAAACCCCAAGCCTGAATGTTTTTGGCATGCCAACACATAGTCACGTAGTGCAACGTCGCATGGAAGCCCCCTGCCTTTGGCTTAGGGTCTGGCAGGTGTTGGGTTAGGGTTCAGGATTTGGGGCTGATCAGGGTTCAGTTGGCGGTTCATGTGTGCTTATCAGTTTGGGCGATAGGTAGGGTACCTGTACTTGTGACCGAAGTTCGGTACCTATAGCCCTACTTGAGGTAACTTCCAAGTAGGGTTTCTAGGATGCCCGGTAGTACCCTTATTCCCTTTTTGGGGGGTTTAGGTTCCCTGATAATCCCCTTTAAGCAAAAAAGGGCACCCTTTTTCATCCTAGGTTACTGGGCAACCTAGCTTTGGGAAAGTAGGATCAGTACTCTGCAAATGGTCAGGCGGACGTTGTTCTCGTGCCCTACGCTTCCCTGGTGAACGCCGAGATGAGGAGTCTGCCCCCCTAAGCCCCAAAGCTTAAAGGCTATAAACTTAGGGGTACTTGGAAATACTTTAATTCCTAAGAAACAGCCAAAATTATAATTTTTGCTAGGGTTCCAAGTTCAGTATAGAAAACCCTGCACCCTAACCCTGACCCTACGCCCTAAACCCTAACCTTGAACCCTACTTCCTAAACCAAGCCCAAAAAAAATGCACCCTAAACCCTTTTTGGTCAATGGTGTTGAGAAGGGTTGGGGCATTTTGGGCAGGGACTGTTCAGCTGTCACCTTCTGAAAAGGATTCTGAAGTATGTGTTTTTAGGTTTAGGGCTAGGGTTTAGGGGCATAGTGTACTTCAGAGGTATATAACGGGGTCTCCAATCAAGGGCACGTACTAAGGGACCACGTAACTACCCTGACAGCTAGCTGTCTTGGGGGTTTGGGATCAGGGTTGATAGCCTACAATAAGAGCCTCCGGTGTAAGGATTCGGGGTTTAGGGCTTATAAGGGTTTGGGTGTCTAGGATTTTGGGCTTGGGGTTTAGGCTTTCCTCGTGTTTGCTGAAACGGTTGGGGGTTTTGGGGATTTCGGCTCCCGAAGGACTGCTGTAGCCAAGTTAATCAGATCTATTGGATTTATCGGTCACCCCTGCAAAGCGTGTCCCGGTTAAAGTACGGCTAGACAAATGTAGGGTTTAGGCTTTCTTTGGGGTGCTAAATTGCGCTTGACAGGAGCAAGCTCGGCATTCGCGTGGAGGCCGCCAGTGTAGGGCCATTCAAACGGGATCACCTATATGCCTGTTTTCTGAGCAGGCCCTTGTTGAAGGGTACAGGGCTATGCATGTGCCACAAGTGTGCTGGCAAGCGTTTCAAGACCTCTTGTTATCGTCGGTTGTTAGGGTAGATATACTCTTTCTCAGGTATGGGGCTACTCTAAGCCGGCCGACATGTGCTACCTTCAGTGATGCTGGGGCTCAAACCTAAACCCTAAACCCTGAACCCTAAACCCGAAACCCTAAGCCCTAAGCCAGACGAAACATCTTGCCAGGGCTTGGAATCGCGAAGCCTGCTGCATCCCTCCCTCACCCTCAGCCCCAGACGGGGCAACTCCAAAACCCCTAGCCCTGGAAGTCTAACCCTGTACTAGCGTTTCGGGTTTAGGGTTTAGGGTTTCAGGTTTCGGGTAGGTTTCTGTACGTATTAACCCAACCTCAGCCCTCAGCTTGAATGAAACCCGAAACGCCAGATCTTCCCATCTCCCTTGGCTAGGGAGGGGTGCTTGTCACTGCTTGTTCTGTATGAATCTTACTAGGATCCTTAGCCGCAACCCAGGTAGACTTCGAAACCCTTAACCCTGAACCCTGAACCCGTAGCCATTTTGGGAGGTGCCACTGGTAATTATAGAACCCACCAACGAAACTGTCATCATCAATGTCCTCCAGGAGTCGGGTTGCTTTGCCATGGCCTGCATAGCCGGGCTGTCGAGTCAAGAGAGGACGAATTGCTTGAATCTACGTGGCTGCCTGGCCTGGGGCACGCACTGCAGTTGGCACAAAATTTGCAACGCAGCTAGCTACATTTGAGGCAAAAATTTAGGTTCATCGTCCGCTCATCTGCAGTATGGGCCGTGCCTCCATCTCGCCGACGCGCAAGTTCCACAACAACCTGGAGCTGCGGGACATGTTGGAGCGCAGCCGGCGGCGCGAGGATGCTGGCTATGTGTCCTCCGACAATGCATCAGCAGGGGGTCCAAGCTACCTCTGAGGGGCATCGGGGTTCGATAAGTTTATAGGGTTTACAGGGTTTAGGTTTTAAAGTTCAGGGAATCAGGGGTTTTGCGTTTTGTTGTGTTGTGCTGTGCTTAAGATACAACGATATACAAAAATATATTACAACACAACAATATACAAATATGTACAAGAATATGCAGCAATATACACGTAAAAAAAGAATGACTTACAATAATTCTCAGTAATTAACAATAATATTCAATAAGGGACAACAATATACAATAATATACAAAAATATACAAAAACATACAGTAATATACACCCACATATACAATATTTTTCAAAAATATACAAAAAAAATACAGCAATATAGAAAAACACAAAAACACAATGACATACAACAATATAAAATATTGCACAAAAAACTGCAATATTATACAATCGTAGACAATAATATACAAGAATATACAATAATATACTATAATATAGAGTAATCTGCAATAGTATACAAAGAAGATTCAAGAATTTGCAACAATATACAGTAACCTACAAAAAAGAGACCAATATACAATAATTTTAAAAACATACAATAACATTCAACAATATGCAATAATTTGCAATATTATACAAAAAACATAAGAAAATACAAGACAATGCAATAATACTCCACAATATATACAACAATGTACAATAATATGCAAGAATATACAGTGTCATACAACATTATACAAGAATTTCCACAATACTATGCCAGAGTATACATGCTTCAGAGTAGACGCATTTTTTTGCAACTTCTAATGCCAAGATGCCAGCATTGTTTTGCGCCTCTGCAAGCTCAGAAATGCTGCTATTTACAGTATTTCCAGCCTCTGAAATCGTAGAAATGCTGCTATTTTCCGTATTTGCAGCCTCTGGAAACTCGGAAATGCTGCAGTGTACAGTATTTCCAGCCTCTGAAAGCGCAGAACTGCTGCTATATACAATATCTGCAGCCTCTCTGGAAACTCTGAAATGCTGCTATTTTCAGAAGTTCCCGCAAAAATGCTGTATTTTCGGTATTTAGAGCTTAAGAACCATTTCTGAGCGTTTACAGCCTCCGCTCCGCTTGCAAGAAGCCTTCGAAGCCTTCAGCAAATAGTTTTTTGATCCCAAACAAGTTTTTTTTGATCCACCTAGAAATACATCATTTTTTGATCCCAAATAAATTTTTCTGATCCCCTACCCTTCTGCGGTGGCCAATCTCGTTAACTCGGCTGGAGCGCTCCAACAAGGGGCGGGCAGGGGCAGGCACCTCGTCTTGCGCTCGGCGTAACAAAACTTCGCGCAAGTCTGGGCTGCGTCGCCTTTATGCGTGCATGGTTTCATGAGCAGCATTCAGCTGGCGATTTGCTGATCGCAATTGGGCTTCAGGCTGACTCTTGTTTCTTTCTTGTCTTGGCGGTTTGATCCTTAAGCCCTCGGGCTGGAGGTGATGCTGCTTGCTCTAGGCCAGATCTTCGGATCTTGGTCTTCCCTCCACTCCACTCCTAAACCCTAATCCCCAACCCCTAAACCCTGAACCCTAACCCTGAGCCCCAAACCCTAAACCCTAAACATGGGAAGATGATATGGGCCCAACCACAGCTCCAGGGATGAGGCTCTCGCCGTGGCTTAGCCCTGAAGCCTGAAACCGAAACCCTAACATGTGCAGACCAGTGGGCTTAAAAGCCCCAAACCCTATAACCCCTAAACCCAATAACACCTAAACCCCATGGTTTTCGGACTAGGGGTTGCGAATAAAGAGACTTGCGGCAGGGCAACGTGGTGCTCTTCGACGAAGCCCACAATCTTCTGGAGGTCGCCCCTCCTAAGCGCTATAACCCCCAGACCCTATAATCCTAAGCCCTGGGTTTAGGGTTTAAGATTTAGGGTTGAGGGTTTAGGGTTCCTAAGCCCTATCCCTAAGACTTCAAGGACTCCTCTTTCAAGGTATTTAGGCCCAAAGAAAGCCTTGTTATGAAAGGGTTTTGGACCCAAAGAAAGCCAAACCCGAAGCCCTAAACCCTAAACCCTGCCCGGTGAGCTTAGGGGGGTGTAGGGTGTTGGGCTTTAGAGCTTGCGGTGTGCTTTGTTGTTTAGGATTTCGGGGATCAGAGGTTTTAGGGTTTAGGGTTTACCACAATACCCGCACCCCTCAAACCCTGTGGACCCTATAAACTCTAAATCCCATAAACCCTGTCGATCCCGTAAGCCCAAACCCTAAACGTTATAAACCCTATGGAGCTTAAAATGCAATGCCCTAATCCCTAAACTCTAAACCCTAAACTCGAAGCCCTAAACCCTAAACCCTAAACCCTAAACCCTAAACCCTAAACTCTTGGAGTCCATGCCCCTCCCTTCCCAGATCTTCCGCCTCTTGAACAAGGGGCCTTCCGTAGATCTCCTTTCGGGGTCCTATTGGTATGGTCTGGGGTTTAGGGTTAGGGTTTACGGTTTAGGGTTTAGGGTTTAGGGTTGCGGGTTTCGGGGTTCAGGGTTTAGGGTTTCGGGTTTTGGGTTTAGGGTTTAGGGAGTAGGGTTTCGGGTTTAGGGGGTTTAGGGTTTAGGGTCCATCCTTTGGGTTCCGTTTGCTCCAGGCCATCAACGAGGCAAATTCGGTGTCCCTCACCGCGGCACAGGTGCTGGAAGGGGGGTATTGGCGCCGATCTTCCGATAGCTTAGTATGGGGGCCTTAATAATGAGAATAGGGTTTAGGGTTTCGGGTTTAGGGTTTCGCGTTCGTAGCTTACTTGCCGGGTTTCCGGATATTAGTGTGCCCCTTTTTGGTGTCCTTACTAGAAACCTACGATTTGGGGATCTATATTTGGGGTCCCATGTTTTTCCTAAACCCCCAGATAGGGGCCTTGAGAATCCGAATAGGGTTTGGGGCGTTACTAGTAGTATCAGTATACAGGGACCATAAGGGAATAATATTAGTAACTATTCCGACTCCTAGCTTACTTGGAGGTTCATGGGTACGTATACGTTGGCTTAAGGGCACTTATAGCACTAGACTTGAGGGACCATTTCCTAAATCAGGGGTATGGGCAGATCTCGAAAAACGGGCTCAAGGTATTCTCGACCTTTGGTACACGTTCAAGCTTTGGGGTTTAGGGTTGTGGGAGGAGCCAAATTTTGCAAGTCCTTTCAGGGTTTTGGGGTTTTCGGGCTTTGCTACTATTACTAACCCCCCAAAACAAAAAAGATAACAATCCCTATTACCTGTTTTACCTTTTGAGGAAGAATATGTTTGATTGTTCGGCAAAGCTTTTGGCCATTGGCGGATTTGGAGGGGTTGGGGGCTGCGGTCTTCTGAAGTTTTGAGGTTTAGGGGTTTGAGCGTTTCACTGCCTTCAGGCTCCGATTAAGACTGGCCCTTGGGCACAAAAAAAGTTGAGTCATAGAGGCTTAGATAGGTTTAATATCACATCTATATCCCTAATGTTAACCTCACATTTACAAATGGGGTGGTAATTGCAATATTCGCCGGGCCAGAGGGCCCCAGCCAAAGACTACTTTCCATTACGGGAGGTTTTCGGGCTGATGTGTGTAAACAAGTCTATATAGGGGGGGTCCGGTGAGAATAATAATGGGGTGACAACTGCAATATTTTTCCGGCCAGGAATGCAACATTTTACTGCAAATGGCTTAAGAGTTCCATTGCAGAGAAGACTTTTCAGCTGAGCTGGCTTGAAAGAGCTCCGAGGCTCAGCCTTTCGAGAAGCAGATCTCGTTTGAGATTGCTTGTCTTTTGAGATTGCTGCAGCTCCAGAGCTGCAGAGAGCAAGCAGAACCCTTCAAGACAAAGCAGAGCAGACCCTGACAGCTGACCCCCCCCCCCCAGACCCCCAGAAGACCCCCAGATTCCAACTATTGACACCCCCTCCCCTTCAAACCCCGGGGACCAAAACAAGATTGGGGGGGGGGGGTTTATTAAAGCGACGTTAACATTAGACCCAAAACCACCAAAGAAAGGGCCCTTCGACCATAAAATTGAATTCTTAAACCCTGCACCCTAAACCCGAACCCCAAACCCTGAACCCTAAACCCTAAACCCTAAACCCTGAACCCTGAACCCTGAACCCCAAACCCCAACCTCCTCCTCCTCCTCCCAAATCATCAAAGCATCCTTCGTGTCTCCCTTGGGCTCCAGCTGTCAGAAGCCCTAAACCCTAAACCCTAACCCCTAAACCTTAAATGTCTCCCTTGGGCGCCAGCCGCCAGGTCCGGAGCGCCGTGGAGGATCTCGCACGCTACGCGAAGCACTATGAGGCTCTGGAGGTTATCAGCTTCATGGTTTGGGGTTTAGGGTTTAGGGTTTGGGGTATTAGGGTTTAGGGTTTAGGGTTTAGGGTTTAGGGCTAGTAGATGGTATAGGGCTTAGGGTTTAGGGCTAAGAGATGGTAAAGGGCTTCGGGTGTAGGATTCAGGGTTCAACGATGGTAGGCGCTGGAATCTTCGCTCTGGATGCTATGTGTTTAGTTTTTAAGGGGCTGTAGCGAGGTACTGGTTCACCTCTAACCCTATACTTCGTGTTTAGGGTTCAGGGTTTAGGGTTTAGGATTTGGGGCTTAGGGTTTAGGGTTTAAGGTTTAGGGTCCCATGGAGCAAGCCCCTGCTCAACATACGGTTGGCAGCATATGTTTGATTGGCTTTCCATTTCGGGTTTATTGTTTAGCCTGTAGCATTGCTCTATTATTTGGTATCAGGAGCTGTGAAATGGTTATATATATATATACATATCTCAGTAAACAATAAATACACCGATAACTATAAATATAAATGTATATCTCTCTGTGTGTATATGAGCTTCTTTATGTATATACACATACTCATACACAGGCGGCTGTTAGCTGTGGTTGCTGTGTACAGTCGCCCGTATCAAAAAACTCGTCGTCGTCGTCGTCGTCGTCGTCGTCGTCGTCGTTGTTGTTGTTGTTGTTGTTGTTGTTGTTGTTGTTGTTGCTGCTTAGTAACTCTGCCTTGCAGATACGGTAGTGGGTTTGACTGTCGATGTTCTAGCAGGCTGTGAAGTCCAGGTTGATGCATGGGGTGGGTGGGGTAGGGAGGGGGGGGGTGGAGGGACGGGGTGCTCACACATTACGCATATATATATATATAGAGATATGTACACACTTGTATATATATACATACATACACATATCATGATGTGTGAATAGATGTATATACGTATATGCCCAACAGGCACATGTAAGATTACGGCTTTCGGGTTAGTTTAATCCATGATTCATGGCTTGGGGTTGAAGATTTCTCTTGTATGCGTATGAGTATATGTATTCATAGAAACAAATATAGTTAACTTGAACGGGGACCCCCCCAACCCCACAAAACTCTAGGTTGTAACCCCCTAATCATAGGACCCTCAGAAAAGTAGACCAGAAACAATAAAGCATAAGAATAGCAGGCGAATGGGGTCCCGGGCAACTTTAAACAAACCCTATAGTTGGCCCAAGGCAGCAGGGCTAGAGTTGCTTCAGGGATGGCACCGCTGAGGCAGGGGTTTAGGGCCTTTAGGGTGTGGGGTTTGGGGATGATTCAACACCTTGATTCCACAACACACCCCACTCCATACCTTGAACCCACAACCTCAGATGTTAACTCCTAAGATTTAAGCCCCCCAAAGTTCAGATCCTGAACCGCAAGCCCCACACCTCCAACCCTAAACCCTAAACCCTAAACCCTAAACCCTAAACCCTAAACCCTAAACCCTAAACCCTAAACCCTAAATGTTTAACCTTCAACCCTATGCCTCCAACCCTTCCAAAAGCTTTCTATTCGGCACCCGAAACTCGGAACCCTCTGCTAGCCAACCTCCCCTCCCCCTAAACCCGAATCCCTAAACCCCTAAACCCCGAGACCCCGAAACCCCTAAACCCCTAAACCCCTAAACCCCTAAACCCCAAACCCTAAATCCTACACGCTAAGCCCTAAACCCTAAACCCTAAACCCTAAACCCTAAACCCTAAACCTTAAACCCTAAACCCTAAACCGTTCCTGAATTTCTGGACGCGCGACCACCTGGAAGATCTTGGGGGGGTGCACAGAAAGGCCGTGCCCCTGAAGGGGGATGCCCGGTTCAAATGTTGCCGGTGTTTCGGTTGGGGGCGTGGTGGAGCAGACGTGAAGTACAAGTCTTTGGGTGCACATACAAAGACCCTAAACCCTAAACCCTAAACCCTAAACCCTAAACCCTAAAACCTAAACTGTTGTCTGAGGTCCACTCTTCTTCCACACCCCCTGCACCACCGGTATGTAATTCACGATTACACTTTTATATTCTCCTCCTTGCTTAACTGTGGGGGGGGTTATTCTGACCCCACCAAACCGCTGTGGTTTACGGCCCTGCATACTTTGCCGTCTGGTGGTCCGTCTCACCAGGTTCGAGACGCTGAGCCTGAACTAGGGCTCAAGCAGAGGATGCAAACTGAAGCAAAATGCCTCCTGGATGCAGAGTGCAACCCTAAACCCCTAACCCCTGAGCCAAAAACCACGAGCCCGAAAACCAACAAACCCTAAACCCTGCACCCTCAACCCTAGACCTTAAACCCTCGACCCTAGACCCTAAACCCTAAACCGTAAACCCAAACCCTAAACCCAACATCGCGCTCGTCGCCACCGCAAATTGTGGCTCGAAGCCTTTTTCACAGGTTCAGGCTCGGGCGAGCGAGCTTCTTCAGGCGACTGTTGCCCGCATTTTTGGCTTCAGGGTTTAGGGTTTAGGGTTTAGGGTTGTATTGGGTTTAGGATTTAGGGTTTAGGGTGGGGTTGGGCTGTCAGGCTTGTGGTTTCGACTTCCGGTTTGGTGTTTCGGATTTCAAGGGCATTGTTTCCTAAACCCTAAACCCTAAACTCTAAACCCTAACCCTAAACCCTAAACCCTAAACCCTTTTGACCCTTTGAACTGCCATGGATGTTCTGTCTGAATCTGGGTGTTCTGCTGGAACTTTGGAGGTTCATGGTACTTCCTAACCAAATAGGGTTTAGGGTATAAGGTTTAGGGTTTAGGGTTTAGGGTTTAGGGTTTAGGCTTGCAAAGTGCCACGAAGCTCCAAGGAGGGCTTTGGTGCAGGTCGCAACTGTGCACGAAGCGCAGTCTGATCAAGTGCCACTTCAGCCCACGACACCCCAGCTCTGCGAACATCACCCTGCTTAGGTTTAGGGTTTAGGGTTTAGGGTTTAGGGTTTAGGGTTTAGGGTTTAGGGTTTAGGGTTTAGGGTTTAGGATTAGGGTTTAGGGCTTAGGGAATGGAACAGGTCCTTCGCTTCGGGTCTCGGGTTGAGGGGTTTAGGGCTAATTTCTCGGATTAGGGTTTCAGAGTCCTGAACGCTAAGCCGGGTACCTAAGAGGTGGATTGTTCTAATTCTAGAGATTCTAGAGGTTCTTTAACGGAACTCTCTTTTGGGACCATGAGCCCCTTAAACGATACCAAAAAGGCAACCCACCTGAACCAGGACCCAGAGTAGACCCTTTTCCTTTTTCTCGGGGTTTAGGTTCCCTTATAAACCCCCTTCAGACCAAAAGGGGCACCCTTGTTATTCCTAGGTTTCTCTTGGGTCTTAGGTAATGACTACAGAAGCCCAAAAACCTCAACCCCGAAGTTGTTTGCCTCTGCTCTCCTGACCCTAAACCCTTATAACTTATAAACCATCAACCCTATCAACCCTTTCAACCCTGTCGACCCTGTCCACCCTGTCAATCCTATCAACCCCGAAACCATAAACCCTGAACCCTGAACCCTAAACCCTAAACCCTAAACCCTAAACCCCACACCACCCTATGTCAGCCAAGGCGCCCCGTGAGAGTTGTCTTGTCGCCATGACGGAATCGGACGACGTGGACAACATGACGGAAGGCAAATATGCCCCTCCTCACATGGAGCTTAAGGTTTAGGGGTTAGGGGTAATTAGGGGTAATTAGGAGTTTTGGGTTTAGGCCCTAAACCCGAACTACCCCCTTTTGTTAACATTCCCCCCCCCCATCTATCTACTATAATGCAACAGGAAAATTGCGAGCCTTGCATATCGGAGGGCAGGGTTGGGGGTTCTCATATATGAGGGGAGTACCCTTTTTTTGGTTATTTCCCTTATTATACAGTAACCAACCCCAAGAAGGGTGCCCTTATTACAATATGGTTACTGGGCTACTAAGTAGAGCTTTAGGTTCAGGTGGCTTGAGGACCCAAAACGCTCATCAACCCTATCAGCCCGTTTAGGGTTGGACCCGAAGCCCTAACCCTGAAACCCATAGAGGGGCCCATACTTTCCCAAAAAACGATCAAGGGACTAGAGGAGATTTCTTTAGGGGGTTATTCAGAGGCTACTTTGCTATTTAGGGACTCTATAACCAGGTAGGCCCTTGGGATATTTTATATTCAGGAATATTTTTCAGAGGATTGTAAGGGCTATTCTAGATAAGGTAAGCACGGGTTTTATAGGGGGCTAAGGGCCCCTTCTAGGGGTCCCTCCTTATACCCCTTCACACTACCTTGGACCTAAGGTGGCACCCTTGAGGGCGCCAAGCCCTAAGCCCTAAACCCTAAACCCTAAACCCTAAACCCTAGACCCTAGACCCTAGACCCTAGACCCTAGACCCTAGACCCTAGACCCTAGACCCTAGACCCTAAACCCTAGACCCTAAACCCTAAACCCTAAACCCTAAACCCTAGACCCTAGACCCTAGACCCTAAACCCAGAAAGGGAAGAGAGAGGCCATCCGTAGAGTATGTTTGCCCGAAGGCTCGCAGGACTCTGAGGGTTTAGGATTTAGGGTTTAGGGTTTAGGGTTTAGGGTTTAGGGTTTAGGGGGTTTAGAGTTCGGGGCTCGGAGACCATACTCTGCAAGGAAAAATTTTGGCTATGTTGGGCCTTAAGGGTTGGTTGAGTGAGCCATTTAGTATCGCAACCTTGGAGGCACGAGCTTGGACCCTGAACCCTAGCCCTGTAATATAGGGGAGTCGGAATGATCTCGAATCGTATTCCCTCATGGTCCCTTTGTAGCTATATTAAAATAACCCCCCTCAAAAAGTCTGATTGTTTAGGCACCTATAGTACTTCAAACTAAACCCTAGCCCGATACTTTAAAACCATGAAGACTTGGTAGCCCTGTGGTACCCTTTTCACTTTTTGTTTGCTCAAGGTTCCCTTGTAAAGTAACACCAACTCACAAAACAGAACCCTTATTTTTACCAACACCCCAGAACCCTGTTCTAATAATTCCGCCCCCTAGGGCACTTAAAACCATAAAGAACCGAGCAGGCCAGGCCCTTTTCCTTGTTAGGGTTCAGGTGCGAGAAGCCCCCCCCCCCCCCCCCCCCCCCTAGACCCTAGACTAGGTACTCTTGGCTCTGGCTTTATAAGCCACTAGGTAGGCCCTTGGGACATTTATACATTATTCCTTCTTGGGTTTAAGAGGCAAATATTTCGGAATGATTTTCAGAGGGTCTTTCGGGGACATCCTAGTCTGAGATTCTAAGAATGACACAACATACCCTCAAAGCCATACCCCCTTAACCTATAAAGAGGAGAATGTAGGGAAGGATTTTCCCATACCCCTAAACCCTAAACCCTTGATTTCTTTTAAGGGCTTTATACACCATAAAGAACCAAGGTCTACTGGATGGGCATTGATGACGACATCCCTCGCGGTCACTTGGGCGAGGCGCATTCTGTTCCCCCAAGGCTTCGGGTTTAGGGTTCAGCCCTAAACCCCAAACCCTAAACCCTGTAGGTTTCTTGGCTTAACTATGTGTTAAGGGTTTCATCGTGGTGTGTGTTTGGTTGTTGGTCTTATTTCGGGTTTAGGCTGTCATCCTGGTTTATACGAGTATTGGCCTATACACTTAGAGCAAGCAGGAACAGACCATGACTTGAAATTTGGCTTACGGCGTTTTCAGGATTATCAGGGGTGTAGACTTTTGGGTAATAAACCCTAGCAGGTGTTGGGTTTGTGTCTGGCGAGGGTTCTCGATTGTTTTGGTTTAGGGACTGGGGACTTGGGTCAACTAAACCCTAAACCCTAAACCCTAAACCCCAAAACCCCAAAACCCCAAACCCCCAAACCCTACGCTGCAACACCGACATCGAGTCCCGAGCCATGCCTGCGGCCTGCTTACCTACTGGTTCAGGCTTAGATGAAGTGTAGCTACATGGTCCCTTAATATCCCTTACCTGCTTGAAAGGGTTTGGGTTTAGGGTTTAGGGTTCAGGGTTTAGGGTTTAGGGTTTAGGGTTTAGGGTTTAGGGTTTAGGGTTTAGGGTTTAGGGTTTCTCATTCAAGATCCCATAAAAAAAGGGATCATAGAACTACCCTTAGAGGTTAAGGGTTAAGGGGTTAGAGTCCATTCCTTGAGTTGCAGGGCCTCGGTATTCAAAAGTGTCGGGTCCATGTACGTATACAGTAGATACTTGGCCTTGAAGGGGTTCCCATATAGTAGCCTTAGGGCCTAGGTATACTATACAAGTGCATGGACCCTTAGGGTGACCGACAACCTATAGACTTAGACCACAAAGCGTGAAGCCCCACACCTGGGCATTCCCAAACGGTGTGGCAACACTATGTGGTTCCAGTACGTTCAGAGGGAGGGTGTATCTTGGTAGCCCAGTTGTTTGGTTCAGGGTTCCCTTACAGAATAGCCAACCCCAAAACCGGCACCCTAATTGCAATATGGCTAGCGGGCTACCCTAAACCCTATACCTACCCCCCCCCCCCCCCCCGTGTTGCACATCCCCTGCATGTCCTGTGCTGCAAATCGCGCTCCCGTTTCGGTGTTTAAGGTGCACCTGCTCACACTTAGGCTCTTAATCCCCTCCCCCTAATATTAAACCCCCCTACCCCCCAATACTAAATACCCCCCATTATAGGTAAATTATAGTCTATTGGGGGGGTTTTAATATTAGGGGGTAGGGGGTAGGGGGGGTTTAATAGGGGGAGGGGATTATTTGAAGACCCCTTATAGGATTCTTGGGTAACCTAAGAGAACGTAAAAGGTAGGGTTGAGAGGGCGCAGAAGTGTCCTCACTCTGGGGCCTAGATCGTGCACCATGATGCTTGCGATGCGTCATCGTCGTGCTCTATGCCGGCAAAACTACCCCCACTCTTCCAAAGGAAGTTTCCCGAAGTTACCCTCAACCCTCAACCCTCAACCCTAAACCCTAAACCCTAAACCCTAAATCCTAAACCCTAACCCTAAACCCTAAACCCTAAACCCTAAACCCTAAACCCTAAACCCTAAGGATCCTACAGTGCCTCAGAACCTTGACTACTGTACTCAAGGGACTTATACTAAATCCTCTGGGAATGTGTTGCCTTTGCGCAGATCGTCGAAGTCCTGGACGAACCTTATCGAAGGACCAAGTTTCCGCAAGGTACATGGAAACTGAAGGCCCATAGGAGACCCGGCTGAAGGTGGGAATCTGCAATTTAGGATTTCAGGGTTTCAGGATTTGATTCAGGGATTCAGGGTTTCAAGGATTTGTTGGGGGTTTTAGGGGTTTTAGGGTTCAAAGGCTGAAGGTTGCAGTTGCCAAGCCTTGCGGGTCTCAGAGGCTAGCAGATGTAAGTGGGCCCAGCAATCCCGACACCTAAGCATCTGACATCTTATGTCCCGAAACCGCCCGAAACCCTTAACCCCAAACCCTAAACCCTAAACCCCAAACCCTAAACCCTAAACCCCAAACCCTAAACCCCAAACCCTAAACCCTAAACCCCAAACCCTCCAAGAGTTGCCTGTCACTTTATGACTTGAAGAGGGGTGGCCGAGTTACTACTACTACTACTACTACTACTACTACTACTACTACTACTACTACTACTACTACTACTACTACTACTACTACTACTACTACTGCTACTGCTACTGCTACTGCTACTGCTACTGCTACTGCTACTACTACTAATAATAATAGTAATAATAATAATGGTGCTTAGAGGGTTTAGGGTCTAGGGCTCAGGATCTAGGGTTTATTGTAGGGTTTAGGCTGCTTAAGGCGGAGTGGCGGGATGAACATCGGAGTCTCTGACTAGATCTGCCTTTCTCAAAAAGAGAAATTGCATCTAGACATTGCCGTAAGAATCCAAACCATACGTTTTGGTAGGCTACTAGGGGGCAGGGCAGGGTTTAGGGTTTAGGATTTAGGATTCAGGATTCAGGTTAGAACGCCAAAAGCCCGCGACTCTCCAAAGCTCCAGATCTTCCATAATCCCTTAGCTAAGGGTCTTCCCTAATTTCGATTACGGATCCTAGTATGATTCAAGTAGGGATTCAATAAGGGAGCGTGGAAGATCTGCGCAAACCCCAAACCCCAAACCCTAAACCCTACACCCCAAACCGCAAACCCGAAACCCCAAACCCTAAACCCTAAACCCCAAACCCTAAACCCTAAGACTCTCTCAGTCTCAATGTCTCCGACTTCCAGAAGCGCACCTTCGTGCATTGCCCGGGTGGCGACTACGATTTCGACCCTTCTCAAAGTTAGAGCAGATTTCATGGGGTTAAGGGTTTAGGATTTAGGGTTTAAGGGTTAGGGTTTGGGGTTTAGGGTTTAGGGTTTAGGGTTTAGGGTTTAGGGTGTATATAGGGGTCGGAGTAAGTAATTACTACGAGTATTGCCTTAGGGTCCCTTTGTATCTATACTACAGTAACCCCCCAAAACCCTATTCTAATCATTCAGGCCCCTATATCATTTCGGAGGTACCACAATTTTGGGTTGGGTTTAGGGCTTAGGGACTTAGAGGAATATATGTGGTCATTTCTCAAAATTAATGTCCCTTGTTGAGTACTCTAAAATGGTAGGGGTCGCCTCGTATTCGTAGCTCCAAAAGGGCCCTAGTTTAGAGAATCCTCCATATGCATATACATATATATATATATAGATGTTTGTTAATTAATTTATTTATTTATATGCCACCCCTCCCCCCCTCCCCTCCGGTACCCACCAATTTCATGCTTGTGGCCCTGTTGCGTACGCAGATTACGTACCAACTCATACATTTGCAGCCAATACAAAGTATGAATACGAATGTGAATAGTGTAATACTATACTACCTCGACTCCTCAACCACTCGGATAGAAAACGTTAACCCTAAACCCAGAACCCTAAACCCTAAACCCTAAGCCCTAAACCCTAAACCCTGAGATTAAGAATTCAGAGGCATCTTAAACCTTCACCCTCTGGACATGTAAATCTCAAACTCTTCTCCTCTGATATGGTATTTGAAAGTATACTAAACCCAGGCTTTGTTTCGTGTACTTTTTGTAGTTGAGGGCGAGATAGATGAAGAATGTATTGAGAAAAACACATGACACCAACATGGTCATGTTTTTTTTTGTGCTTGGAAATGTCCGGGCAATTTCCCGGAAAAAGTGTCCCGGAAGCTAGTCCGAAATGTTTTCCGGAAGGTTTTGGACTGAAGATTGAAAATGCCAGGGGAAAGTTTTTCCTCGACATCTTCAATCTTCAATCCAAAGCCTTCCAATAACCCCAAACTCCTATACTTATGAACCCGCTTTAGAATTCACGGTTTAGGATTTAGGGTTGAGGGTTATATACCCTAAACCCGAAACCGTAACGCCTAAACACTAAAGTTGAGGAAGTCATCGGTGAGATTCTGGACCTGGACGAGGGCGAACTGATCGTTGAGATCATGGGCGAGAAGGCTTTTGAGGGTTGTTTTTTGTCAGGGCTGGTACGTTTGGAGGGTTTAAGGTTAAGGTTTAGGGTTTAGGGTTTAGGGTTTAGGGTTTAGGGTTTAGGGTTTAGGGTTTAGGGTTTAGGGTTTAGGGTTTCGGGACCTGAGGGCTTCTATGAGGGCTGAGGCGGGTTTTGGGGTCTCATGAGGGTTGTTATCAAGCTGGAGACTCCTGGGTGATTTCAACTCAAATATACACGCCTAGGGTTTAGGATTTGGGGTTTAGGGTTTAGGGCTTAAGGTTTAGGGTTTGGGGTTTAGGGTTTAGGGCTTAGGTTTAGGGTTGGTTTAGGGTTTGGGGTTTAGGGTTTTTTGTTTCGGGCTTGGGGTCCACGATGCCGCCCACTGGACTGGTTCCGAAGGGAGCGTTTGGTGGAGAGAAAACCCGAAATCCCCAAAAAACGGGGGGGGGGGGGGGGGGGGGGTGAGTTGGTTTGAACCTAAAATCTCAACCCGAAACCCTAAACCCCAAACCGCAACAGCCGAAACCAAAACTTGGTAGCCCAGAGGTACCCATTTTCCATTTTGTTGCTTCCAGGTTCCCTTCTAAAGTACCCAACCCCAAGAAGGGCACCCTTATTCGAGTATGGTTACTGTGCTTTGTGGTGCTTTACTGTAACTTTACATCTTTAGCCTTTTTGGGTATATTGGGCTTCTTAATAAGGCAGCTAAAAGTTTAAATTTTGCTACCCTCCTAAGTGCAGCCAAGTGTGCTACCAAGAAGACCCTAAACTCTGAATCTCGAAGCCCTGACCCTACACTCTGGGTTCTTGGCTGACGCCATAGGATTTACGCTCTCGTTGCGCTGGGGGTTAGGTCTGGGGTTTCGGGTTTAGGGTTTCGGGTTCAGGGTTTGGGATTTGGGGTTTAGGGGTTTAGGTTCAGGATTGAAATTTTAGGGCATACAAGGCACAGGCTCGGGAAGATCATGCAAGCCCACTTGGCCATCCAAGAATGCTGCCCATGCTGGATAGTAGAAGCCAAAAAGTTGGAAACTCAAGAGCCTCAATCCCTAAGAGTAAAGTATAGAGAGTCCGATCGCTAGTTGTCCTCAAAAAGGTTTCCAACTTTTTGGGGTTTGCTATATTGATGAGGGTGGCCTTGAAGCATTAACTGGCCCTAAACCCTAAACCCTAAACCCTAAACCCTAGATGGCCCTCCATTCTCTTGCCAAAATTGCATGTCGACATTCAGAAAGCATTCGAAGCCGAACTCTGCCTTAACCTTCTCAGCTTTTGTGCCACATCGCAGAAAGCCCGAAACCCAAAACCCAAAACCTCAAACCCTAAACTCTAAACCCTAAGCCAAAAGAAGATGAACAAACAACCCTCAAACCTCGTTCCGGGAAGGTGAAGAAGCCGCCCAAGAAGCTCGTGAAGTGCGACTTCCAACCTGGAATGTATGTCTCATGGTTTCGGTTTAGGGTTTAGGGTTGAGGGTTGAGGGTGAAGGGTTGAGGGTTGAGGGTTTAGGGTTTAGGGTTTAGGGTAGTCTTTCAATTTTCAATATCCCTGAAGCTTAGTAGCTGAACAAGTGCACTTTACACTTTTTGGGATACTATAAGCCCCTACCCCTACTACCCCCCTCTATACTACCCCCCCCCCCCCTAGTTCCCCCATTTAATGAAGGCTATTTAAGGATAATTAAGCCTAATTAAGGCTATTTAAGGCGGGAACCCGGGGGGGGGGGGGGGTAGTATAGAGGGGGGTACTAGGGGAACCCATAACTATAGAACTGACGGAGTGCACTTTTTTTTTTTTTTTTTCTTTTTTGGGGGGGGCTTCTGAACTCAACTAAGGATGTGAGGACTTCAAGTTTTCAGGGTTTACGGGGTTTAAAGTTTTTGGTTTAGGGTTTAGGGTTCAGGGTTTAGGGTTTGCGGGGGGTTGATGGGGTTAGGGTTTGGGGCGCAAAGGAGTATTCCCCAACATCTCGTGGGTTGGGTTTTGGAGAGCAAAGGGTTTGGGGAGTAAGGTTTAAACCCTAAACCCTGTATAAACCCTAAACCCAGTAGATGTTAGGCTAGACGAGGTTCAGGGTTGAGAGTTTAAGGGTCTATGTCTCAACGGATCTTGGAAACTGTCCCCCAAACCTCCAGGGTACAACCTTAAGGGTCCTAATCCCTGAACCCTAAACCCTAAATCCTCAACCCTCAACCCTCAACCCTCAACCCTAAACCCTAAACCCTGAACCCTCAACCCTAAACCCTAAACCCTAAACCCTAAGCCCTAAGCCCTAAACCCTAAACCCTAAACCCTAAACCCGAACCCCCTATAGTGTCCCAGTCTCTCAGGTCTTCTGGACGAAGTCCGACGATGACATTCCACCGGGACACATGGGCACGGCCACCGGTCCTGGTGATTATTGTTTAGGGGTTTAGGGTTTAGGGTTTAGGTTTCAGGGTTTAGGGTTTAGAGTTTAGGGTTTGGGGTTTCGGGTTTAAGGCTTAGGGGTGTAAGGGTTTAATGTTTAGGGGTTTCGGGGTTTCGGCCCTCCAGGGCTTGTGGTTTAGTGTCTACGATGCAAGGCCTCGCGCCCTAAAGACACCCTACACCCTAAACCCTGAACTGCCAAGCCCCCTGAATTCGAAACCCTTAAAGGACCTAAACCCTAAACTGCTCAACCCCTAAATTCTAGACCCTTAAAGGACCTAAACCCTAAACTGCTCAACCCCTAAATTCTAAACCCTTAAAGGACCTAAAACCCTCAAAACCCCTGCCCCTAAACCCCAAACCCTAAACCCGAAACCCTAAACCCTTAGAGGCCTAAAGCCCTCAAAACCCCCGAGCCCGAAACTTCCGAAAGCCCAGACCCGGCTGCCAAACTCCGCGGCTTAGGGTTTAGGGTTTAGGGTTTAGGGTTTAGGGTTTAGGGTTTAGGGTTTAGGGTTTAGGGTTTAGGGTTTAGGGTTTAGGGTTTAGGGTTTAGGGTTTAGGATGTAGGCTTGAGGCCTTAGGGCCCCAAACATCCCTAAGCCCTAAACATCCCCAAGCCCCAAACCTTCCCTAAACTCCAAACATCCTTAAACCTTGGAGACTCCTAAGCCCCAAACCCCTAGTTTGGGGTTGAGGGTTTAGGGTTTAGGGTTTAGGGTTTAGGGTTCAGCACTCCGGGTCGAGCAGCTTTATGGTTAAGCTTTATTTACGGCTCGGATTTAACACCCACCCACCCAGAGAATCCCACTACATTGAGAAAGCCAAAAACGGCCAAATTCTGAAAATAAAGCGGCCAAATTCTGAAAATAAAGCGGCCAAATTCTGAAAATAAAGCGGCCAAATTCTGAAAATATAGCGGCCAAATTCTGAAAATAAAGCGGCCAAATTCTGAAAATAAAACGGCCAAATTCTGAAAATGAAGCGGCCAAATTCTGAACAAAAAAACGGCCAAATTCTGAAATTCAATTATCCTTTGGCCTGATTTTGGCTCATTCTGAAAATAAAGCGGCCAAATTCTGAAAATAAAGCGGCCAAATTCTGAAAATAAAGCGGCCAAATTGTGAAAATACAATTAAGGTTTAAATTTATATGGTAGAGAGGGTTTAGGGTTTAGGGTTAGAGTTTGGGGTTCAGGGTTTAGGGTTTAGGGCCTACTCCATCTGCCCCCAAACCCCAGAAAAGCCATGAGTCCAAGTACTTGAGAGCCTCCTGACATCTAAGCCAGCTAGGTTTTAAGGGTTTAGGGTTTAGGGTTTAGGGTTTAGGGTTTAGGGTTTAGGGTTTAGGGTTTAGAGCCAGTTAGGTTTTTAAGGGTTTAGGGCTTAGGGTTTAGAGAAGGTTCCGATAGGGTTTAGGGTTTCGAGAAGGTTCCAAACTGCTCAAAGTTTAGGGTTTGGGGTTTAGAGAAGGTTCCAAACTGCTCAAAGTTTAGGGTTTAGGGTTTAGAGAAGGTTCCAAACTGCTTAAATGTAGGTGCTACTTAGAGACTTTAGACCTCAAAGTAGGTATGATTTGTATACTTGGAGCCCTAAGGTTAGGGTTTACGGTGGTTTAGGCTTCGGGTTTAGGGTGGCTTAGGGTTCAGGGTTGGCCACCACAGTGGACACCAAAACCCCTCAACCCAAAAAGTCTCAGATGTTGCGGGGGGTTAGGGTTAGGGTTTATGGTTTAGGGTCTAGCCAAGCATCAACACCCTGAACCCTAAGGCCTGAACCCTTGGGTTTAGGTTCGGGATTATGCAGGTTTGGTTTTCAAGGCCCTTTGGGGTTTTGCGACGCGGCCTTTCGCTCGCTAACCTCCAACACCTCAAGCACCTTGTAAGTTTTATATTGTTCTTAAGGGAAGGGGGCTCATGGGGGGTAGTGGAGAGTGTTAGGGTGTTGACTTTCCGCTGCCACGCCGGCTGGTCCGTGGACGGTGCCTCCCAGCAAGGCTCCATCAGTGACAGTACTGCGGCTTCGCTGCAGGATAACGCGTTCGAGGCCTATCACTTCGAGGGTCTCTGGTGCCCGTCCAGTTTTCGTTCCTCAGCCCAGCAGAACGCCAACGCCTTTTCGAGGTGAGCTGGTTTTTCAACACCACTTTTGTACGCTTTATTTTGGCCGCCGCAGTTACCCGTGGCCTGCATAGAGCCTTTCATGAGCCGCGGCAGCCTCTTGCTGCGTGAGGGCGACGGTGCTGAGCGGCCAGGTCTTCATTCTAGCTCTAGTGGTGGGGAGAAAGCCGGAGCTCGAATGATGTTGGGGGTGCAAACTTAAGGAACCTATAAATGCAGGTTTTCGGGCTTTGGGTTGAGCATTTGGACGCATCTCACTTGCTCTTTGTAGGTAATGAGGTAATGCCTAGCATCCTATATATCCTTTAAGGGTGTCTATACGGACCCTAAACCCTCAAGCCTAAACCTAAAACCTATAACCTAGAAACCGAAACCCTAAACCCTCTCTACCATGTATATTTAAACCTTAATTGTATTTTCAAAATTTGGCCGCTTTATTTTCAGAATTTGGCCGCTTTATTTTCAGAATTTGGCCGCTTTATTTTCAGAATTTGGCCGCTTTATTTTCAGAATGAGCCAAAATCAGGCCAAAGGCTAATTGAATTTCAGAATTTGGCCGCTTTATTTTCAGAATTTGGCCGCTTTATTTTCAGAATTTGGCCGCTTTATTTTCAGAATTTGGCCGCTTTATTTTCAGAAATTGGCCGCTTCAGAATTTGGCCGCTTTATTTTCAGAATTTGGCCGCTTTATTTTCAGAATTTGGCCGCTTTATTTTCAGAATTTTGCCGTTTTATTTTCAGAATTTGGCCGCTTTATTTTCAGAATTTGGCCGCTTTATTTTCAGAATTTGGCCGCTTTATTTTCAGAATTTGGCCGCTTTATTTTCAAAATTTGGCCGCTTTATTTTCAGAATTTGGCCGCTTTATTTTCAGAATTTGGCCGTTTTTGGCTTTCTCAATGTAGTGGGATTCTCTGGGTGGGTGGGTGTTGTATCCGAGCCGTAAATAAAGCTTAACCATAAAGCTGCTCGACCCGGAGTGCTGAAACCCTAAACCCTAAACCCTAAACCCTGAACCCTAAACCCTAAACCCTAAACCCTAAACCCTAATGCCTTCCTGGGAACCGGTCATAAGCCCCCTTCTTTCCACGAATATGGATAACCTGACGTTTCCAGTGTGGCGGCTATGCAATACGTAGCACAAAGCCCTCTCCCCATAGCCTTCCCCTACAACCCCTTAAACCCAAATCATACTCTACACCCTCAACCCTAAACCCTATATCCTTAGCCCTAAACCCTAAACCCTAAACCCTACACCCTAAACCCCACACCCTACACCCTAAACCCGATTCTTTTGGTATTTGGGTCCAGAAGGTACCCGTGAACCCTCAACGCGTAGCCCTGCGACGAGGTTTTGCCGGACCTGAACGAAGAAGGCATGGTTAAGGCCCCCTGTTTTTTTTTAGGGTTTAGGGTTTGGGGTTTGCGGTTTAGGGTTTAGGGTTAGGGGTGTTTTTATTTTTTTTTCGGGTTTGGGTCTTTTTGTTGCTTTTTTGTTTGTGTTGTTTCTGGGGGGGGGGGGCCGAGGTGGGGATTGGGGAGGGGTGTTCTTCGGATGATGTGGTTTTTTTTTGTGTGCCGTGGTGTCAAGTCAAAGACCTGAACGTTGGGGTCAGGGTTGAGTGTCCTAAACCCCCTAAACCCTAAACCCTAAACCAGGGTTATGGCAACTCCGGTACATGTCGTCGCAACGTGGAGGGCCGATCTTGGCACGTCGTCCCCATGGCCGTACTGTGATCTCGCAAGGGGGCAAACCTCTCAAAAATAGTGCCTGTCACCCTAAACCCTGAACCCTATAAACCCTAAACCCGAAGCCCCAAACCCCTATTGTTTCACCGACTGTCGAAAACAAGAGGGCTAGGGGTTCGAAGGGCCTCAGGGTCAGGGGCTTATAGGGCTTAGGCCATATTATGCCTGGATTATTCCCCTAGGCCCGATTATAAGCCCTAGACCTCAACTCTCCTATAGGTGAAGGGTTCATAGGGTTCGTAGGGTTTATAGGGTTGCATGGTTTATAGGATGTATAGGTTTATGGGTTTCTAGAGTGTAGGTTTGGGATCTGGGGAAGCCCCAGGCGGTTTAGGGTTTAGGGTTTGGGGTTTGGGGTTTAGGGTTTAGGGTTTAGGGTTTAGGGTTTAGGGTTTAGGGTGCGTGAGCCACAAGAGGTCAAATTCCCCAACGGCGCCTGGCGCTTTACCCCCAAGCAGATGGCTCCCTGGCATTTTTTCTCAGCGGGTGAGAGCCCTAAACCCCAAACCCTAAACCCTAAACCCTAAACCCTAAACCCTAAACCCTAAACTCTAAACCCCAAACCCTAAACCCTAAACCCTCAAACCCTAAACCCTAAACCCCTAAACCCCTACACCCCTAAACCCCTAAACCCTAAACCCCTGAACCCTAAACCCCTAAACCCTATAAGGGGGTTAAACCTTAAACCCCTAAACCCTAAACCCCTAAACCCTAAACCCCTAAACCCTAAACCCCTAAACCCTAAACCCCTATACCCTTCAGGGCAGGGGGTTAAACCTTAAGAGCCCCAGGTGCCGACCTTTTTCTATTTTTCCTATATGAGAATCTTCTTTTTAAAGGTTTTTGTTTAGGGTTTAGGCTTTAGGTTTCAGAAAAGGGTTTGGGGTTTAGGGTTTAGGGTTTAGGGTTTAGGGTTTAGGGTTAGAATCAGAGCCACGAACAAGCGGGTGCCGAGATCTAAGTTAAGAGCCTCAACCAGAACATTTCGCACATGAAATATGGCCAGCCAAGTAAGAATGCGAGACCGAACATGGCTAGAAGAAGGGTTCTTTGAAGGTCGGGGAGGGGTTTATTATAGGGTCAACATGATTTCTGAAATAACATTCCCTTAGGGTTTCCTTTCTAAATTTCCTATAAGAAGCTCCCCCCCCGAAACGTTATTCTAAGTATTCCGGCCCCTATATTACGTTTTTTGTGTTCACCGTGTTCGTGAGAGTTGCCTGTGGTCCTCTGCAAGATTTTTGGAAGATAGGTTTGTTTAGTTTGTGTGGGCTTGCAGGTCACCCCCCATAAACCCTAAAATTATCCAAAGCCTCCCTCTACCCTCCACGCCTAAACCCTAAACCCTAAACTCTAAACCCCCGCCCCCCGGCTCGGAAGCCCACGCTAACTGGAGGTCCCACAGATTTTCCCTTCCGGAGGCTTAATTAGGAGGGTTCAAGGGAGCTTCCAACATGTTAGGGTGCAGGGTGAGGGTGTTTAGGGTTTAGGGTTTAGGGTTTAGGGTTTAGGGTTTAGGGTTTAGGGTTTAGGGTTTAGGGTTTAGGGTTTAGGGTTTAGGGTTGCCCGACCAAGGAACCCCGCCCCCCCTCCCCTCCGGCCGCACAAAGGGACCCCCCAGCTTCAACCCCCAAGTTCTCCTTAGAGGGAAGACTTGAGCACCTCCTACTCAGTGACCTCGGGGCAAAAGTATATGATAATAGCGTGCCATGGACTCTGAGGGCATTTAACCCTAACCCTAAACCCGAAACCCTAAACCCGAAACCCTAAACCCGAAACCCTAAACCCTAAACCCTAGACCAGAAACCCGAGGTACGCGGGCACATCCAACACGGCTCCTACGTGCAATGGACGAATCTTGGGCTTTCTTCTGGTTGTCCCTTGCAGGACCTTTATTGTAGAAACTGCAGTAAGGATATTGTAACCCTAAACCCTAAACCCTAAACCCTAAAAGAAGTCAGCCAAAGGAAGCACGACGAGGACATCGCAAAAGGAGAGATCGGTGAGGTCTTTGGCGAGCTGAACGATGAGGGGAAGGTGGGGAAATTGGTGTTTGTTTATGGCTTTTTTCAGGGTTTGGCCTCTAGGGGTGCGGGTAGGGTTTAGGGTTTAGGGTTTAGGGTTTAGGGTTTAGGGTTTAGGGTTTAGGGTTTAGGGTTTAGGGTTTAGGGTTTAGGGTTTAGGGTTTAGGGTTTAGGGTTTAGGGTTTAGGGTTTAGGGTTTAGGGTTTAGGGTTTAGGGTGTAGCAAAGACGCTTCTGATCGTCTCTAGGACCGAAACCTTAAGCCCCTAAACCCGACAATAAGGCCTAAGCCCTCAAGCATTTAAGGCTTGGGTGTTAGTTGGTTTCGGGTTTGGGGTTTAGGGTTTAGGGTTTAGGGTTTACATGTAAATTACCATAAGAATGACACCAAAGAGAACAACGCCACCCCCAATTGCAACCCGAAGTGTTGCTAGTCTGGGATTTGGAGTACTATACTTTACTGCTTTGTTGTTGGGTTCTGGGTTCCTATTACAGCTATTTATACCAAAGAAGTATACGTTTTTTTTTCCAGGGTTTACTCCCAAGTAGGCTTAGTTGGTGCTGCGCACGTCGCGCGGCCAATGTTTCGAGTGTGGGGTTTAGCGGTATGGGGTCCAAGGGTTATGGGCTTCAGGGTTTAGGATTTAGGGTTTAGGGTTTAGGGGTAAGGGTTTGACAGTACTAGGTGCTTGCGGTTTATGACTTCCTCTATAGCTGCCATAATGCCTTTGAGGCTTCATGCCGTCTTGAAGGTTAGTGGAGGTGAACTTGCAGGTCTATGAACCCCACGGCGAAACCCTAAAACCCCATAACCCTTAACTCTAAAGATCAATGTAGCATGGGCAGAGGCTCCCAGTTTAGGGTTTAGGGTTTCGGGTGTAGGGCTTAGGGTTCATTTGGTCCACACCTGACAGCTCATGGGTACAGCAGGGTTACAAGTACCTTAGCTTGGGTCATACGTGCAGTTGCCCAACTTCTTGCCCTACTGCAAAGAAGCCATTAACCTCCAAGCAAAGACCAGAGTAGCATGGGCCGGGTAGAACATCCCAGCTTTAATAAACCCTAAGCCCTAAACCCAAACCCTAAACCCTAAACCCTAAACCTAGGATCTTCTGCCCCAGGCTACTCTGGCCACATAACCAGTCCTAGAATCCTGGGATCACCCGCCACTGGGGCCTCTCTGCCCTAAACCCTAAACCCTAAGCCCTAAACCCTAAACCTTAAACCCTAAACCCTAAACCCTAAACCGGAGACTTGTAGCATGCATGGTTCCGGCCCCTCTTATATATCCTCAAGTCTGCAGAGGATAGATGGGATTTAAGGTTCCGGGCTCTCCAGTGCCGATTAGGATTTAGACTTCCGGGTTTGGGGTTTAGGGTTTAGGGTTTAGGGTTTAGGGTTTAGGGTTTAGGGTTTAGGGTTTAGGGTTTAGGGTTTAGGGTTTAGCGATATCGGGTTTCGGGTTTAGGGTTTAGGGTTTGAAGTTTACGCTTTTTTTTTGTTTATATGGCCGTCAGTGGCTGGCTGCCTATGATGGCAGGATCTGACAGGCTGAGCCCAGACCCCTGGGAGGATCCAAAAAGTAGAGCCCAGGGTTTAGGGTTTGGGGGATATTAGGGTTTACTATAGGGTTTAGGGCTTATACTTCTATTGGGCCATTTTTAGGAACCCTCAAGGGGGATCTACTTTCTCGATCCTCAAAAGGGGTTTAGGGTTTCGGGTTTAGGGTTTAGGGTTTTACAGTACACCTTTATGAAGCCCTAAACCCTACCTTGAAAGCCAGTAGACTACAACTATGGGCTACAGTTTCCTATTTTGGGTGTGTATAGCAGCCGCTTGTTTTATGCAACTAGGCGTTTAAGGTACACCCTAAAGCCCTAAGAAGCCCATGATGAAGCCCTGAACCCAAGTCCACACAGCGGCAGGTCAAAGTCCGGTTTGCCAAGGGCTGCTGGCGTTTCGATCCAGAGGCCCGGGTTTAGGGTGTAGGGTTTAGGGCTTAGGGTTTAGGGTTTAGGGTCCGCCTCCCACAACGGCCAATGGGTTCTGTAGGGTTTAGGGTATTTCGGCTTTAGGGTGTTTAGGGTTTAGGGTTACAAGGGGTTAAATGAGGAAATGAGGCTTGGGGCTTAGCGTTTTGGGGTGTAGGGTGTAAGGCTTGATCAGGGATGGGGCGTGCTTTTGGGGGGCTCAAAGACAGGTTTTAGGGTTTAGGGTTTAGGGGAAAGGGTTAGGGCCAGGGGGGGGGGGGGGTCAGGGATTTGAAGCTTGAGGTTTTGGGGTGTGGGGTTGCTTGGAAGCTCTTTGGACTTGGCAAGTCTACTTCGTATCCCCTACAAACCCTATGCTAATCTCCATAACTTACCTCAATAACTTCTACTTACAAAGTCAAAAGAGCTTCCAAGTGCCTTGTATCGACATTCAGGTCAGCTTAGGGTAGTTACATGGTCCCTTAGTATGGGCCCTTCACAGCGGACCCCTTAAAAACCCCGGATATACCCCTAAACCCTCCACTTTAGGGTTTAGGGTTTAGGGTTTAGGGTTTAGGGTTTAGGGTTTAGGGTTTAGGGTTTAGAGGGCAGGTTTCTGGAGGCTTGTCGAGTTGTTTCGGGACGTGCGTAAGAACATGTGGGCTCTGAATCGGCAACTCGTGATCTCGGAACCCTATTTCAAAATCCCGTAAAGTTATAGGTGTGCGTATGTATATTGTATGTATATATAGTATATATATATATACATACATACATATACGTTTGTGTAGAGAGGGGGATATAAGGTGTCTGTAAACTTCCGACTCACTCCCGATGAGGAACCAGTGAGATGGTTGTTCAGGAGCCAGGGAGTTATGATGGTGTTACGTTGTGCGGCGCGTAAGTTGAAGAAATCAGCACTTTGGCCCTAAACCCTAAACCCCAAACCCTAAACCCTAAACCTTAAACCCTAACGTATTAGGGTCCTTGGCTGGCTTTAGGGCTACAGGGTCCCTAAACCCTAAACCCTAAACCCTAAACCCTAAACCCTAAACCCTAAACCCTCTTCAGGGTGTCATGTGTTAGGGCTACAAGTTGCTGTTTGTGTGCCGACCTTCACACCGACGAACGCCCTCGAAATTGTTGTGGGTTTAGGGATGTTGACTTGAGGGTTTCGGGCTTCGGCTGTTTTCAGCTATGTTTGGGCTGTGTCTAGGGCTTTAGGGTTTAGGGTTTAGAGTTTAGGGTTTAGGGTCTCTTTATGGTTCCGCGGGATGTGTTACCTGCCACCCAGTCGCTCTTCCTGCACGAGATGCAACTTGGTTGCTTCGTCACCTGGTCGAAGCATGACGATGACGTCGAGAAAGGCCTAGCCCTAAACCCTAAACCCTAAGCCCTAAACCCTAAACCCTAAACCCTAAACCTTAAACCCTGGCTTTTGAGGTATCTGAGGCCCTTCAAGCCCCTCTCCCCCGCCTACACCCTAACGATCTGAAACCCCCAAAAACCCTGAACCCCTACGCCCCTCAACCTCGCAGCCCTTAGGGGTTTAGGGTTTAGGGTTTAGGGTTTAGGGTTTAGGGTTTAGGTTTAGGGTTTAGGGTTTAGGGTTTAGGGTTTCGGGTTTAGGGTTTAGGGTTTAGGGTTTAGGGTTGCAAAATGCTGTGCGTCACGCGCCACAGGCCCTAAAATCCAGAATGCAGAGAACAGAAGATGGGTGCAGGGTTTGGAGCTTACGTTCCTCACGTTGATACGTTGACTAAACTTGGAGGTTCATAGGTAAGTGGGGTGGCTGTACTTAATCTTCCCAAGGTACCCTTTGAGTCTACTTATAAGTAGGGTATAGCTTCCCTAAGGTTTCCCAGGTACGTACCCTTGAACCCCCCTCCCTTAAGAACCCTATACACACACTTCCAACATGAACTACCCAAAGGGTCCATGTACCCATTTAGTACGTACTTGGGCCCGTTCCTATACAGTAGCTTGAGGGCCCAAATACACATATATATATATATAGAAAGAAAGAAAGATAGATAGATATGTGTACATGGGCCCTTTTTTGGCTACGGGAAACTCCCAAATGTTGTAACATCCTTGTCCTCATACCAACATCCTTGTCCCCATACCCTAAAAGGTATACTAAAGGGGATCCCAGCCAGAATCATCCTCAACCCATGTTTGGAGGAAAAAGAGAGTCCCTAAATGAAAACCTCTGACACCCACGGCCAGCAAGCGTCTGCGGGAGCGAAGCTAGGAAAACTGCATAACAGCCGTTTAGGGTTTAGGGTTTAGGGTTTAGGGTTTAGGGTTCAGGGTTCAGGGTTTAGGGTTTAGGGTTTAGGGTTTAGGGATTAGGGTTTAGGGTTTAGGGTTACCGAATGCTGTCCAGGGTTAAGGGTTTGCAGTCTGGCTCGGAGGGGACAGTCTCAACAGCGACGTTTGAAGCCCGCCAAGCTACTAAGACCCCTAAATCCTAAATCCTAAGGCCCGAAATTCCCAGCAATTATTTGTTTAAGAACCCCCAACACAAATCTAAAATGCTCTTCCTTTCATTGGCACTTTATACGGATTATGCTCTGTTTTTCGGGGGGTGTCTTAAGCAAAGAGTAGAATGCCACACCCTAAACCGTAAACCCTAAACCCTAAACCCTAAACCCTAAACCCTAAACCCTAAACCCTAAACCTCTCTTTCATATATAATTTAAATGCTAAGGAGTTACTGGGCAAGGTCGCCGTTTTACTGGGCAAGGTCGCCGTTTTACTGGGCAAGGTCGTTTTTGCCCAGTAAAACGGTGACCTTGCCCAGTAAAACGGCCGTTTTACTGGGCAAGGTCGCCGTTTTACTGGGCAAGGTCGCCGTTTTACTGGGCAAGGTCGATTTTGTGACCGAAGGTCGCCGTTTTACTGGGCAAGGTCGCCGTTTTACTGGGCAAGGTCGCCAAGGTCGCCGTTTTACTGGGCAAGGTCGATTTTGGTCAAAAAATCGACCTTGCCCAGTAAAACGGCGACCTTGCCCAGTAAAACGGCGACCTTCGGTCACAAAATCGACCTTGCCCAGTAAAACGGCGACCTTGCCCAGTAAAACGGCGACCTTGCCCAGTAAAACGGCCGTTTTACTGGGCAAGGTCGCCGTTTTACTGGGCAAGGTCGCCGTTTTTACTGGGCAAGGTCATTTTTTTACTGGGCAAGGTCGTTCCATAAGTGAAATATTTTCATAATGTTGTGGGATTCTTCGGGCGGGTGGGTATTTTTCTAGAGTAATTTCTTGACAAGTGAATGCTTGGACCTGAGATGCTGAACCCTAAACCCTAAACCCTAAACCTAGACCCCTTGCCCTTGGAAGGCGCCGTGGGCCATGTGATCGGCATCAAAGTGGATGAGGGCAGATTGAGGGTGCAATTTCCCAAGGGTGCCCTGCCAGGCTTTAGGGTTTAGGGTTTAGGGTTTAGGGGGTTTAGGGTTTTGGGTTTAGGGTTAGGGTTTAGGGTTTAGGGTTTAGGGTTTAGGGTTCAGGGGCTTGAGGGTTCGGGCGACAGGGTTTAGGGTTCAGGTTCGTGCTGGTAGGCTTCCGGGTCTTTTACGTGTCTGTGTGCTTTAGGCAAGAAGTAAGTGTGCTGGAGGCCAATACAGTAGACTCCAGAAAGTTGGAACATGGTTTGAGGGTGATTAGAGTTAGGATTCCCTTGAGTATACCTTTTGGGGTACAGGGATGAGGAGGTTCCAACTTTGTGGAGTTTACTGTACAGGTTGCAGGATGCTTGTTACGCTCCCCACCGAGGTACACATGGCGTCCGCGCGGGATAGTGAATGAAGTAGGTTTGTTTGCGATCTTGAGCACCTGAACCATGTAGGGGTTAGGGTTTAGGGGTTAGGGTTTAGGTTTGGGGAGCCTTGTATTTATGCTGTATGCTTTCCCCTACCAGTTGTTTCCTGGAACCGCTTCTCCCTACTTTAAGCGTTACTTTCACTTTGAACTTTGAACCCCAAACCCTAGACCCCAAAAAACCCAAACCCCAAAACTCCAACAAGGGATGTCATTTGGAGCTTCCCAGAAAAGCCCTGAACCCCAAACCCTGAACCCTGAAGCCCTTACCCCCAAACCCTAAAACCCTCAACCCTAGACCCTGAAATCCTAAAACCCTAAATCCTGAAACCTAAACCCGAAACCCTAAACCCTAAACCCGAAACCCTAAACCCTAAACCCTAGCCCTAAACCCTAAACCCTAAACCCGGATCCTCATGCCCTGAGGTAGATGGACCTTCAAGGCGAACATGCTGAAACTGCACAAGGTGCAGCCTGGGATGTGCCTGGTCCTCGTTTAGGGTTTAGGGTTTAGGGTTTAGGATTTAGGGTTTAGGGTTTAGGGTTTAGGGTTTAGGGTTTAGGGTTTAGGGTTTAGGGTTTAGGTTTTTTTTGTTCGTGTTCAGGGTCCAAGGTTGTAGGGCTCAAGGCTCGGTGGTCGAGGATAATGGGTTCAAGGCAGAGCTCTAGAATAGGATACCCCTTCAACGGGCTAACCCTAAACCCTAAACCCTAAACTCTGAATCCTAAACCCTAAACCCTAAACCCTAAACCCTAAACCCTAAACCCTGAACCCTGAACCCTAAACCCTAAACCCTAAACCCTAAACCCTGAACCCTGAACCCTGAACCCTAAACCCTGAACCCTGAACCCTAAAACCTAAACCCTGAACCCTAAAACCCTAAACCCTAAACCCAAACATTTGCGTTTAGCTGCTGAGGGCTGCCAAGGCTTGGTTCTGTGCGTTTTGTTTGCTCCGCTTGAAGGTTTAGGCTTCAGGGTTTAGGGTTTAGGGTTTGGGGTTTTGACTTAAGGCTTCAGGCTTCAGGCTTCAGGTTTGTTAGGGTCTAGGGTTTGGGGTTTGGGGTTTGGGGTTTGGGGTCTAGGGGTTTATGTTTAGGGTTCAGGGTTTTGGTTTTAGGGTTTGAGGTTGGGGGGGTTTAGGACATGGGGGTCGAGGGTTCGATCAGCTGCTTCGGGGGGCTAGGGTTTAGGGTTTCGGGTTTCTGGTTCGGGTTTCGGGTTTAGGGTTTAGGGTCTAGGGTCTAGGGCCAGGGTTCGATCAGCTCAGCGAAAGTTAGCTTTGGGCGTCTGCTTTGCGAAGTAATCTGCAGTTGAGGGTTTAGGGTTTAGGGTTTAGGGTTTAGGGTTGAGGGTTTAGGGTTTAGGGTTTAGGGTTGAGGGCTTGCCTCGAACAGCTTTTTTCTCACCATTGCATTGCAAGACTGGGAAGGTTCTGGTGTTGGCCGCTTTCGGTTTGTGTGGGTTTGACGAAGGTCTTGCTGTCGATTCTGTCCCCCCAAGTCTTCCTAAACCCTAAACCCCAAAACCCGAAGCCCTAAACCCTAAACCCTAAACCCGAAGCCCTAAACCCTAAACCTTCCCGAGCACCCAAAACCCATTTTTTGTAGGCGACCTGAGGATCCTCCAAGGGGATTTCAAATCGAAAACTCTGCACATCAACAGGTTTGGGGTTCTCAAGGTTATCCTTTTGCTTAGGGTTTAGGGTTTCGGGTTTAGGGTTTAGGGTTTAGGGTTTAGGGTTTAGGGTTTAGGGTTTAGGGTTCAAAGTTTAGGGTTTCGGGTTTCGGGTTTAGGGGTCCCGTCTTCAGAGGGCTTGTAACGCGCCCAGCGGCCAAGCCAGCACCCTAAACCCTAAACCCTAAACCCTAAACCCTAAACCCTAAACCCTAAACCCTAAACCCTAAACCCTAAACCCTAAACCCTAAACCCTAAACCCTCAGGCTCGTTCACTGGGCATGTAGTGATGCGGACATCCCACGCGGGGACATTGGCCGCACGGCAGTTCGTGGTCAGTAACCCTCAACCCTAAGCCTTGAACCCTGAAAAACCCTAAGGCCCAAACCCTAAGCCCTAAACCCTAAGCCCGAAACCTTGTGGGTTGGATTTGGTTAGGGATGAGGGTTTAGGGTCTACGAAACCTCCACTACCCGCATCCTAACCTTAACAACCCAGGAGATATCCCTCATCGCTATGCCGATTCAATAAAATACTTCTGAATGAAATGCACGTTTGAAAGGTTTTTCGGCTACCGGAACAAAGTGGTTCGGTTGAAGGTCTTGGCTCAGGGTTTATCCCCTGGACACTAAACCCGAAACACCTTAACCCCTAGACTGGAGGGGGGTGGGGGGGAGGGGGGGGGGTGGGGGGGGGGGGGTTGGTGGGGGGGGGAGGGCGGGGGGGGGGGGGGCGTGGGGGGGGGGCGGGGGGGGGGCGGGGGGGGGGGGGGGCGGGGGGGGGTGGGGGGGGGGGGGGGGGGGGGGGGGCGGGGGGGGGGGGGGGGGGGGGTGGGGGGGTGGTGGGGGGGGCGGGGGGGGGGGGGTTTGGGGCTAGGCGAGTCCGTGAATCAGGAACTGTAATACAATAATCGTAACTGATAGCTATATGTGTACATATGTAATTAGATGTATGTGTATATGTGTCTAGGTGTATATGTATGTCTGTATAGGTGTGTACGTGTAAATGTGGGTTTGTGGATCATAGCGTATATGCACATGTCTGTGTACATGTGTGTAATTGTGTAGATGTGCTAATGTGGACGTATGTGAATATGTGTTTCTGGATGTATGTAAACATCCGTATATGCAGGTATAGTCACATCATATGCCTATGCATACATATATGCTTATACATATGTAACTTTGTACATGTGTATGCATATGTACATGTACGTGTACGTCCAGTCCGTATGTATGTATGTATGTATGTATGAATGTATGAATGAATGTATGTATGTATGTACGCTTATATATATATAGATACAGAGAGAGACATGGCCGACTGATTTCTCAGGGAGTTTTGCTACACACAGACACGGCAGACTGATTTCTCAAGTAGTTTTGCTACACCAAGACACAGCACATCCCAAACAAAGCCCTTATGAGGCGGAGGTCCTGAGGGCTCCAATTTAACTATAGGGTTCTTGGGGTTCAAGGGGCACATGTAACCCAAGGTTCCCTGGTACTCCCCACTGCTCCCTAACACTCCCCTAGGCTCCTTAGGTACCTAATTTCCATAAACCCCCCCGCCCCCCTCGATTGAGGACCATAGAATTGATAAAGCGCATGAGGGGCTTGGGGAGGTTAAACCCTCAACTTAGGGACCTCAGGCCGTATAGCCCGAACCTCCAAACCCTGCACCTTGAAGCCCTAAACCTGAAAACCCTAAGCCCTCAACCCCCAAAATCTCCTCCGAAACCCACAACCCTCAACACCCTCAACCCTAAACCCTAAACCCTCCTCAGCAGAGGTGAAGTGGTCCGCATGAAGGACGAAATGAACCGGATGGGTGTGATGTGGCCAAAAGGAAACTTCAGAGCCCCGGAGGCAGAGTTGGGTTAAGGGTTTAGGGTTTAGGGTTTAGGGTTTAGGGTTTAGGGTTTAGGGCTTAGGGTGCCCACAAGCCTGAAGACCTACGTCCTCCAACCACATGGGTAAGTCTCTAGATTGTATGGTCAGGGTTCCTTCTTTCCGTCCTACACTTTCTACGGCACCCTTAACAGAAAGACCCAAACTGGACCCTAGTTTAGAGAATGTCCTATATACCTGCGGCTTAGTGCGTACGGGGTTTCTCATAGACACAAAAACCCTGTTCCCGCAGCCCTGCATAAGCCTTGACGAAGCTTCATTGTTACCTTCAAACCTTTTCTTGTCCATACCTCGCTGAACATCTGACCCTAAACCCTAAACCCTAAACCCTAAACCCTAAACCCTAAACCCTAAACCCTAAACCCTAAACCCTAAACCCTAAACCCTAAACCCTAAACCCTAAACCCTAAACCCAAACCCAACAGCCCCAGGTATCAAGCCGAAAGAGCTGCGCATGCTCCCCTTCCAGAAGGGCGACCGGGTGCAGTGGACGTCGGCCGATGACGATATTCCGGAAGGCATCCTTTAGACCCCTGAAAACCCTAAACCCTAAACCCTAAACCCTAAACCCTAAACCCTAAACCCTAAACCCTGGCGTGCAGGAGTTTAAGATTCAGGGCGAGTTCGGGGAGTTTCCTCGGGATGGGGCTGCATGGCTTAAAGCTTTGTCGGGCCTCTCAGGTTTCGGCGTTCTGGTGTAAGGGTTTAGGGTTTAGGGTTTAGGGTTTAGGGTTTAGGGTTTAGGGTTTAGGGTTTAGCGCCAAACCCTGGACCCTCTAAGTTGCAGTTTAGGGTTCAGGGCTTAGGGTAAACCTCTTAAGAATTAGAGCTTGAGGTTGTCGAGTTTGGGGGCCTTGGCGGTTCTGGGCCGTGATGTGCTAGACAGCCAGTACGGGTCAAGGGTTAGGGCTTAGGGTTCCTAAACCCTAAATCCTAAGCCTCTAAACCCTAAACCCTACAGCCTAAACCCTAAACCCTAAACCCTAAACCCTTAACCCTAAACCCTAAACCCTACAGCCTAAACCCTAAATAAACGCTAAAGCTTAGCAGACTTCGAGTCTGAAGACGCCACCACAAGCAGGGGTTGGGTACATTTGTGGAGTGCGATACCCACCCCACCCCCCCCCCCCCCCTATCAGAATCCCTTTTAAGGACTGTTAGAACATGGAGGGGGGGGGTGGGGGGACATCCCAAGTTTTGGGTTTAATTCGGGATTTAGGGGTGTTAGAAATTGGAAGCACGCTGGAAACCTCAAGTGCGGATTTGGATCGGCTTCCCAGATCTTCCAAAACCCCTTAATTAAGGAATATACCCAAAATTCATACTAAGGATCCCTCTCATGATTATGAACTAGGGTGTATTCCTGAATTAAGGGGGGTTTAGGGTGATCTGGGTTTGTTGTTGGGCAGGAGATCTCGGCATCGTCATGGGCATCTCCTACGAGGACCCTCGGCAGACGCTAGCTTCAAGGGTTGTCGGTGTAGGGTTTAGGGTTTAGGTTTAGGGTTTAGGGTTTAGGGTTTAGGGTTTAGGGTTTAGGGTTTAGGGTTTAGGGTTTAGGGTTCAGGGTTCAGGGTTTAGGGTTTAGGGTTTAGGGTTTAGGTTTAAGTTTAGGGGCGCCTAAAACCTGAACAAGCCCTGAACACTCTGGTTGGGCTTCAGGGCTTCATGTCCCGATTGCATGCCGGCAGTTTCTTTTACGTTGCAGTCGCCTAGGCCCTAAACCCCTAGACACTAAACCCTAAACCCTAAACTCTCAACCGTCAGCCGCTGTCAGGGCGACGAGAGCGGAAACAGGCTTATGGTGAAATGGACGAAGGGAAGGCGCGGCCGAAGACCTCGGAGACTCCAATGCTCGCACTGCGCATAGAGAATCCTGAAGGCCTCGCGCGGACCTATACAAAGGCCTGGTGATACCCTAACCCCTAAACCCAAACCCTAAACCCTAAACTCTAAACCCTATAAACCCTAAACCCTATAAACCCTAAACCCTATCATCAATCCCTGGTGATACACCAAAGTCCGAGATCTTCGGTATCTAAAGTCACTCCTTTCTCCGAAGTCCACAGCCTTGCGGCCAGGTGGAACATGAAGCCAGAAGGATTGAAGCTTGGTTTGGAGTGTTGGGGAACTTGGGGATGAGGGTTCTGGGTTTTGGGCTCAGAGGTTTGGGGCTTTGGAGTTTGGAGTCTTGGGGGAAGTCATTTCTTTGTTGTTGATTTTTGGGGCTGGGGCATTTTGCTATAGTTTGGGGGGGGGGGGGGGGAAATATGGAAGCCTCAGATAGTACAAATACAATACCCCTGTACTCTGTCCGAAAGAACGTAGTTCTAGTTTGCTAGGCCTGCTAACCCTGACTTCAATTTTGGAGGTTTGCCGAAATTAGGGGTATCTCATTATTGGGATCCTTACAGAAGGGGATTCTACTATTTGGGGGTCTATTTTGGGACTCCCCTATTTTCGTAAACCCCCAGATCCCCTAAACCCCAAGAGCTACATTGGCCCGTAGTTCAGGGCGGTTGCAAGTCATGCGAGTTGACCAAGAGAGCTTCGCCACACCTGGCATTCACGTCATGGGCTCCCACCGGTACAGCTTAGGGGCCCTAAGCCCTAAACCCTAACCCCTGAACCCTGAACCCTGAACCCTCGGTTTAGGGCTTCTAGGGCTTATAAGGCTTAGCACTTCATGGTTCTTCCCCCACAAGCACCGGAGCGCCCTAAGGTCTCAAACTTAGGGTTCAGGTTTCAGAGTCTAGGGTTTAGGGTCTAGGGTCTAGGTTTTGGGGTTTAGGGTCTAGGGTTTAGGGTTTAGGCTTGGGTAGTTCTCTAAATTAGGGTCCCTTTAACGAAGGACACGCAAAAGGAACCTCATTTAGAAGAGCTACCCAAATCACGTTTAGAGAAGCCAGAGCTAACCTGCCTCAGTGTACCCAGGTCTTCCAGCATCCCTTATACCCTAAACCCTAAACCCTAAACCCTGAACCCTACACCCTAAACCCTAAACCCTAAACCCTAAACCTTAAACCCTTAGCCATCCCTTAGAGCAGAGTAGGATCTTCAAAACAAATTGACCATAGCAGGATCCTCCAAGCAGCACAGCATGTAAGGGTAGTTGCATGGTCCCTTCGTATGGGCGCTTAAATGGGGACCCCGCATATGCCATTATGTACCCTACTTCAGAACCCTTAAAGAAGGTAACGGAACATACTAAGGGACCCTAAACCCTAAGCCCGAAATCCTAAACCCTAAACCCTATGCATATTATAACTACCCTTAGATAGCACGAGGTTCAGGGATGACTTTGTCATGTCTGTCCATCCATCCGTTTGCCTGACGCAGCCTGAACCCGAGACCCCTAGACCCTAGGGTTTAGGGCTTAGGGTTTAGGTTTTAGGGTTTAGGGATTAGGGTAGTTGCTAAGGAAAGCTACCAACCTCGATGCAGATAGCATCAACCAGCTCAAGGCGTCACAGGGTTTTGGTTCCCAGACCTTAAGAAACTAGGACCGGGAGTAGGCCTTTTTTTTCCTTTTTGTAGGGTTGGGGAGCTCTTTATTCTTAGGTTACTCCCGGGTCTAGGAAAGGAGCGTTAATCATGGAACCATCCCTCAACGTTTTCTCCTAAATCCTAAACCCTCAACCCTGGACCCTGAACCCTGAACCCTGAACCGGAACGAAGATCTGGTGTGAACCCAAAGGACCATTAGATTCCTCAGATTCTTAGAATTCCTAGAGCTCAGGCTGTATGCAGGATGTCCAGTAGCACCCTTGGTGATTCTCTAAATTCGGGTTCCCTTTTGAGGTTTCTCGTACAAGGCGGCTCCCGAATATTCAGGGTGCCCACAAAAGGGACCATCATGTCGAGAACTGACCCCATTATCCCCTTTTGAGAAGTTGCAGGGTGTAAGATGAATCTCTCTGGGATGAGGCAAGGTTTCTTTTCATATGTGCCATACATATATCGTATATTTCTATACACATGTGTGTATATGTATATCTCCATATACATACATGGATATTCATGTACCCAGATGCAGGATACATATGCACACTAATCAACACCACATCCCAGTCTGAACACCAGACCCCTGTGTAGGGGGAAGGGCGATTCTCCACGCTCAGCACCCTAAACCCTAAACCCTAAACCCTAAACCCCCAATCTCCTGCCCATGAAAAACCGATGCGCTGCTGCCAGGCTGCCTTCAAGCGCTTTGACAAGAATGGGGATGGCAAGCTGACCGTGGAGGTCTCCCGGTGTGGGTGTGGGCAGTTTAGGGCCATTTCGGGTTTAGGGTTTAGGGTTTAGGGTTTAGGGTTTAGGGTTTAGGGTTTAGGGTTTTAGGGTTTTAGGGTTTCAGGGTTTTAGGGTTTTAGGGTTTTAGGGTTTAGGGTTTTAGGTTTTAGGGTTTTAGGGTTTTAGGGTTTTAGGGTTTTAGGGTTTTAGGGTTTTAGGGTTTTAGGGTTTAGGGTTTTAGGGTTGTAGGGTTTTAGGGTTGTAGGGTTTTAGGGTTTTAGGGTTTTAGGGTTTTAGGGTTTTAGGGTTTTAGGGTTTTAGGGTTTTAGGGTTTTAGGGTTTTAGGGTTTTAGGGTTTTAGGGTTTTAGGGTTTTAGGGTTTTAGGGTTTTAGGGTTTTAGGGTTTTAGGGTTTTAGGGTTTTAGGGTTTTAGGGTTTTAGGGTTTTAGGGTTTTAGGGTTTTAGGGTTTTAGGGTTTTAGGGTTTTAGGGTTTTAGGGTTTTAGGGTTTTAGGGTTTTAGGGTTTTAGGGTTGTAGGGTTTTAGGGTTTTAGGGTTTTAGGGTGGTTTTAGGGTTTTAGGGTGGTTTTAGGGTTTTAGGGTTTTAGGGTTTTAGGGCCAGTCTCAGCTGCGAAGTTCCCTTTTGGGAGGGCTGGGGGCAGGGGGTGGGGATTTGCAGGCGTTCTGTTTGCAGGGAGTTCTATGTTGAAGGCCACCTGACGTTAGAGGTGCCGCTGGCTTTAGACAAGTCGGACCTCTCCCCAGCCGTCTGCTGCTAAGCAGCACGTATGAATCCCCTGAACCGCCTGAGCCCTCAAGGTACCCTTTTGTGTCTAAGAACCATCTTGCTAACCGCCTGGAGGCACGTTTGCATAGAACCGCTGTCTAGCCCTAGGCTCGCCCAAAACGGCTTATGGGCTCTCTTGTCAGGTTCCTATCATCAAGGGTTTAGACTGTAGGGTTTAGGGTTTAGGGTTTAGGGTTTTGGGGTTTAGGGTTTAGGGTTCAGAAACTTCCCAAGTCCCAATAAGCCAAAGCCTCCTGCACAAAAGGAGCTCACGGGCGTGCTGGGAAAACTGGGAGATGGCGGGCTCAGCGATGATGAGTGCCAGCAACTTGACCCACCTGTTTGCTAGGGTTTAGGGTTTAGGGTTTAGGGTTTAGGGTTTAGGGTTTAGGGTTTAGGGTTTAGGGTTTAGGGTTTTACCCCAAGACCCCAAACCCTTAAATTTTGCCCCAAAGCCCCAAACCATCCGAGGCAGCTCTTCGACGGCCTGGACAAGGTCTCCGGTAGGATTTAGGGTTTAGGGTTTAGGGTTTAGGGTTTAGGGTTTAGGGTTTAGGGTTTAGGGTTTAGGGTTTAGGGTTTAGGGTTTAGGGTTTAGGGTTGGGGTTTAGTGTTTAGGGGTTAGGGGTTAGGATCTATTGGGGTTCAGGGCTCAGAGTTTAGGGGTTAGGGTTTAGATCCTCTAAGGGAGTATAAGGGCCATCTTAGGAGGAGTACCTTTTAGGGGTACAACCTTAGGGGTTCAGGGGGGAGGGTTTAGGGTTTAGGGTTTTGGGTTTTGGGTTTAGGGTTTAGGGTTTTGGGTTGGGGACCCTATGTTACAGTCCAGGGCATGGGTTATGTGAAAAAGGTTGAGGGTTGGGGCTTGTTGGGATTTAGCGTTTAGGGATTTGGGGTTTAGGGATAAGGGTTTAGGGTTTTGAGGGTTGGGGTCTGTTGGCTTCAGGGTTAAGAGGTTTCTAGGCTTTGGGGTTAGGTTTCTGCATTTGGTTTAGGGATTTGTGGTTTGGGCATTTGGGAGTTCATGGGTTTGGGCAATCTAAACTTTCAAAGCCCTTCAAAACCATGTGAGGGCCAAACCTTGTCTTAAGAACCCAAAACCTACCATTTCTAGGTTCTTATTATAAAGCCCCCTATAAGTAGGATTCTTAGGCAACCTACAAAAAAATTAGGTTTGTTTTTCTTTGGTGATGCCTAAAAGATGTCAGACAGTACTCCTAAGTAGGGCTTCCGGTTCCTGCGTCGCAGGCCTCCACACAGCTTGTTGACCAAGAACTGGTAAGGTTTAGAGTCTGGGGTTTAGGGCTTAGGGCTTAGGGCTTAGGGCTTAGGGTGTAGGGTTTAGGGTTTAGGGTCTATTGGGGTTCAGGGCTCAGAGTTTAGGGGCTAAGCTTGAAGCCAGCCGCGGAGCTCCTCAAACCCTAAACGCTGAGCCCACGACTTTGGGCATCTCCAACATGGTCGGTTTAGGGTTCGGTTTTTGGGGTTGGGGGGTTTAGGGTTTAGGGTTTAGGGTTTAGGGTTTATGGTTTAGGGTTTAGGTTTTAGGGTTTAGGGTAACAAGGACCCGGAGTAGGCCCTTATGTCATTGTTGGGGTTCCCTTATCATCCCCTTAAAACCAAAAAGGGCACCCTGTTTATTCCGAGGTTACTCCTGGGTCTAGTCTACATCTCCAGAAACTTTACAGGGTCCTTAAGGGAGGGAGGTTCGCGGGGAGGTGAGTACCTGGCGAAGCTAGTGGGGCTCATTCCCTTTTTTGTTGGACTGGGGTTCCCTTGTAAGCCCCTTTAAACCAAAGGGCGCCCCTTTAATTCCCATAGATCACTTTTGGGTCTAGTCTACATCTCCAGAAACTTCTGGAACAAACAGCAGACTTCATGCTCAATTTCGTGGAGTTCGAAGTCTGGTGGTGCAACCTTCTTAGCTACCCAGACCCTAATCCCCCGCAAGCAGAACCTTAAACCCTAAACCCTAAACCCTAAACCCTAAACCCTAAACCCTAAACCCTAAACCCTAAACCCTAAACCCTAAACCCTAAACCCTAAACCCTAAACCCTAAACCCTAAACCCTAAACCCTAACAGCAGTGGCCGATTCACACCTCAAACGAGTAGCAGGGACTTAAGGCTTACGACGCTCCCGAAGGCAAGAGGTTGATGCGAGGGTTTAGGGTCTAGGGTCTAGGGTTTGGGGTTTAGGGTTTAGGGTTTAGGGTTTAGGGTTGCTGCAGGACTCTGATGGGAAGTTGACCTCCAATGAGCGCCTTTGTTTGCAAGCATGGGTCGCGCCGTGATGGTCACACAGATATATCCCAGATATGGTTTAGGGTTTAGGGTTTAGGGTTTACGGTTTAGGGTTTAGAGCTTAGGGTTTAGGGTTTAGGGTTTAGGGTTGCGTGCACCTCTAGGAGGTTCGTCGGAATATCTGAACTCATAACCCAATAGGGGACTTGGCTTAGCAACGGAAACCCGAAACCCTAACCCTAATCCCCCCTAAACCCTACAACCCTAAACCCGAAACCCCAAACCCCAGACCCGAAACCGCCAACCCGAAACCCGAAACCCGAAACCCTAAACCCTAAGCCCTAAGCCCTAAACCCGAAACCCTAACCTTTAAACAAGGGGCTTTCCAACCCCCCGGATGCCCGCGCAGAAAGGTTCATCGACTACATCTTCGGGGGAGAAGCCAGTGGCTCCCAGCGGAATCTGGTAGCCGCAATGAGACTCTAGGGTTCAGGGTTCAGGGTTTAGGGTTTAGGGTTTAGGGTTTAGGGTTTAGGGTTTAGGGTGAGGGAAGTTGAGCGGTTTTATATACCCTGAGCCCTATACCCGGAGCCCTTAAGGATCACATGCTCCACCCTTCTCCATTCTGATCTTTAGGGTTTAGGGTTTGGGGCGTGGGGTGTAATCGCTTCTCCCTAATACCAAACCCCACTCTAATTTGAAATATTGTTTTTGCTGGTCCCTGCCGGCACCCAGCCGAATACTAAACCTGTTTGAGATTTAGGGGGGCAGGGGTTTAGGGCCTTCGCCCCTGAGTTGAGCCATTAGGGTTTCTGGGTGCAGGGCTGAAGGCTGACAGGATTAGGATCCAGGGCTCAGGGCTTAGAGGGTTTAATTAGGGTTTAAACCTTCAGGCTAAACCCTAATGAACCCTAAACCCCTAAACCCTAAACCCTAAACCCTAAACCCTAACCCTAAACCCTAAACCCTAAACCCTAAACCCTAAACCGTAGCTCTGCCACGGTCCCCAAACCCCGGGCTGACTGGATCTGAATCTCTGCCAAAAAAGGCCACGACTGTCTCGTCTTCGGCTTTGGGATTTTATTCGGCTTCGGATTTCAGGTTTTAGGGTTTAGGCCCCCCCCTAATTTTGAATATTTTTCGGGCCCAGGCGAATTTCAGATTTAGGGGGGGGTTTGGAGAGTTGGGTGGGGGGGGGGGGGGGGGTGTAGGGTTTGGGGATTAACCACGGTATAATTAAGGCGTAGCCTAAACTGATCAACCCAAGTTCAAAATCCTAAACCTACAAAGCCTGAACCCTATGACCCCTGTAAACCACGTAAATCCTACACAAACCCCACATAAACCCTAAAAACTCTGCACAACCCCCCCAGAACCCTACACAAACCTTATAAACCTAGGTTCCACAGCCCTCAACTTGGAGCCAAACCCAATTCCTGCCCTGACGGTTGGCGGACTGTCATGAGCACTGTGGCTTAGGGTTTGGGTTTAGGGTTTAGGGTTTAGGGTTTTGGGTTTAGGGTTTAGGGTTTAGGGTTTAGGGTTTTGGGTTTTGGGTTTTGGGTTTAGGGTTTAGGGTTTAGGGTTTAGGGTTTAGGGCTCAATAAGTGTAGGCTTTAGGGTTTACCCTGATTGTCATGTGGCTGCTGAGCTACCAAGTACCCGTGACAGGGTTTGTCATGTGGTAGGTTCTCAAAACGATGGCCCCTTTCGGGATCCTATTCTAGTACCAACCCTTAACCCCTAAACCCTAAACCCGAAACCTGAAAACCTAAATCCTAAACCCTAAACCCTAAACCCTTAACCCTTAACCCTTAACCCTTAACCCTTAACCCTTAACCCTTAACCCTTAACCCTTAACCCCAAGCCGAACCTGTTCAGCAATGAGGCTCAAATCCCGTGGGGCTGTTGAAGCCCCAACACCCCCGAAATCAGGCTTCGGGTGTAGTCTAGGGCAGAGAGATTAGGGTTTTGGCCTTTTCG